AATACATCAAAAGTATGAGCCACGGCGCCTTTAGAGTTGATTTGCTTCGATAATTTGACGAAAGACTAGAAATTCTGATAAACATACAACAATCGAGAAGCGATGTTATATCTGTACGTTGAGCATGTCTCAACCATGAAATGCACTCCAACGCTCCTCGCTATAAACCCCTGTCCTACCCTCTGCCTAATTGAAATATTCTTCGGAGGGGAAGTTCCGTCCATAAACGCCATCCATTCTAAGTGAAGAAGTGGCCGTTCGTTGCTGAAAGTGCCAGTCTGTCCCAATCTATTCAAGGTTCTCTCGGAACCGCGAATCCCTCGTGGGGCTGTGTGTCTTGTGCGTGTTCGGGTCCCGAATAGCAGCCGGCGGCGAGACCGGACCTTCCAGATCATCGCTCGCCTCGACAAAGTGCTCCGACTCGGAATCAGAGCTCACGGGGCTCACCTCGCCCTCCTGCGCCGCTGCCGACCTGGGCGTCGTCTCGCTACTCTTGCCGGCGATGGCAACCTCTCGCATACTAGCCGACCGCGCGTCACCAAGACTGGTTGCGCTCTCGTTGGCGAGCCTCGCCAGCGCAACGCCACCGACGAAGCCACGCTCCTCTGCGTTCTCACCGGCCGCAGATCGGCCCCGCGGCCGTCCGAAGCGTGACTTGAGCCAAGTCTTCATCTTGTTCGTCGGCGAGCCGCTGTCGCTGGGCGAGCGCGGGTTGTCGCTGCCGGAGCTTTCTCTGTTCGTGTTGATCACACCGGGCTTGTGCTGGCCTGCGCGGGTGGTGCCCTGGTCGTCGCTCACGGGTGAAATTTCGCTGGACTCTGCTGCAACGACGGCCGAGTCGCCCGGCGTGATCTCGGGGAGCTTGGACTTGCGCTTTTCCTCGGCCTTGATGGCCTTTTCCTCTTCCTTCTTGGCCTTCAGCTCTTGCTTCTCACGGTGGCGCTTCTCCTTTTCTTCCTGCTTCTCTTGCGCTGTGATGATGTTAGGAGAAGGTTTCACGCATAAGAAGGAAGACGACAACATACCAATAACCTTGCGGTTGATCTCCTTAACCTCTCTGTCACGCTCCTTGCGCTTCTCTTCGTCTCTCTTCTTGGCTTCTGCCTCCGCCTTGAGAACCTCTTGCCGTTCCCGCTCGATAGCTGCCTTCTCGTTGATCTCGTCAAGCACGGGCTGGACTCTCCTCGTGGCGATCTCGTCGACTGCCGCAGGATCCATGAACATGCCGCCACCAACATCCACCTTGCCCCTATTCACATTGGTAGACTCGTGCTTAGTCATGGCAGCCATCTGAGCCTTGGCTTCCCAGTCACTCTTCCGATCGCTCTTTGAGCTGGGCGCCACCATACCGGTCTCGGCTGAGATCTTGTCATCCATGCCCTGCAGGCGGGCTTTGACGTTGCGTTGGGCGGCTGCTAGTAGTGCCTCGCGATCCTTTGTCCGCTTCTGCTCGTCGACCTTGGTCAGGTTGGAGGAGAAGATGGACATTTCTCTTCGAATGCGTTCAGATTGTTCCTTATCGTGACTTGCGTCGCCATCGCTTGAGGATCGCCGTCTGAGCTTACCCTTCATAGTAAACCTCCGCTGAGGTGTGGTCTGGGTGTTGCTGCCGTAGTATTCTTGGTAGTCTCGGTTCTGGTGATGCTCCACATGAAGTTTCGATAAACGCTCCTGCGCTAGCTTATATGCCGCTTCCTGGAGGTTGACATAAGGTTTGGGTTGAGTGTTGTCGGGGCTGGTCTCTCCTGCAGCTTGGTGAACTCGTGCTTGGTCGACCATCCTTTGCTGTTGGCTATACATCTTTTTGGCCATGGCCACCGCAGAGGCGTGGAGAACGTCGGCTCTTTTCTTCTCATCTTCTTCAGGTCCGATAGCGGGCTTGGAGGTGAACATGCTTCGGGGCAGGTTTGTGTACGGAACTGAGCCAGTGTTCTCAGTGGGGGACTTTGGCTTCAAAGAAGGGCTGTGAGCTGCTGTGGCGGCACTCAAAGCGTTTGCAGCAGCTCGTGATTCTCCGGGATAGGATTCTTTTGGCACAGGGGTCGATTTAGCTCGTGGCCTTGTCCTCCTGGACGCCGGCATGGCATTCTGGGCTGCTGAAAGGGAGCCAAGGCCGGCGGCGGCGGTAGAGGGTGTCTGGGTGGGCTGTTTGACTGAGCGGCTTTGTCTAAATGCCTGGTTTGCAGCGCTGCTTCCCCAAGACTCAGTAGCAGACGGAGGAGGGGTCGTGTTGGTGGTGGACTGTCTCTTTGCTGAAGCGCTGGCCAGCAGAGCAGCCTTGGCCCCGGCAGAGCTTGAGTTTGGTTCCCACGATGGTGCCATTTTGTAATCCTTTGCGAGCATAGCTGCGGTTGATGCAGAGTTTGACTTTTCGGGTTTCCAAAGGTCGATTGGTTTTTGGTTTGCCCAACCTAACGATGCGGCAGCTCCAGCAGCAGCTCCATCGGATTTGAGACCGGGGGATGGGAAGCTGGGTAGATCCCGCGGGTCGGCGTACTTTAATCTTCCCGAGTGGGCTGCTATATTCAGGGGAAAAGAAGGATTTATGATTAACACAGATGCTTTCTTTATTCGGACCTCTCCAAATAGAAATCTCGTATTCTGCAGGAGAGAGCGAGGTAAGGTTTCAAGTTACCTGTGGATGGTACTTGGTACCGTGTTTCCGCCATGCCTGTGCTTGACTTTTGCTGCGGCTGCGTCTGCGTCTGCTGCGTCTGCTGCGTCGCTGTCTTGGAGGAGCTGGCTTGCATCATTGCCAGCCCGGAGCCGGCTTGGTGGTATCGATCCCGGGGTTATCCACTTAACCGCTGCGGATGCCTGTTCGTCACAGGGCGAATGTACCGTAGCGAGGAGGGTACGGAGGAGTAGCGAGGATGTATAATACAGGGAACGGAAGGTCGAAAAGTGGGAAAGCTCGCAGCGGATTTGCGGCTTACACGCTGGTTGAGGTGGACGCGTGGGTAACGCTGTAGATGGATTGACAACCGAGAGTTGAGGCCCGACTGATGTTATTTCTGGACCAGCTTACCCGTGTCGCAAGAGGAAGTGGTATCACGAGATGCGATGATCCTCTCGTCGTACTAGGGTATACTGCAAGAAGGATGCGCCGAAAACTGGGAGGTCAAGGAGCTTGGATGCTTGGGTAAACCAAAGAGCAGAAAAATTGACCAGGAACGACGTCGAGGCGCAGGCGGGGGGTCCCGAAAGAGGGCATGCAAGTTATATCATACATCCAGAAGCAGATCTTTCTGGTTCAAAGGGGGCACTTGGTAGGGGGGCGTGGGCTGGTGGGAAGACTCCCGTCCAAGGTAGACTGGCGGCGCGGCGCGAGCGAGCGAGCGCACGATGAGGTAGTAGGTATGCTTTCCCCCAAAAAACTGGTGAGCGGGAGCCGGTCAATGATGGTGATACGGCGTGCGCAGTTAGTGCTAGTGGCTAGTCATAGTGAGCTGCGACGACAGCAGCGCCTTACGTCATGCGGGGTCCCTTCCCTTCCGTTTCGGGCGTAGCAACCTGCCATCTAGCACCTCTGCCCCTGTCAAACATCCACCACACCTCCCCTCCCCAGCTCTTTGAATTGGGAATTGGGGATTCCATTTCTCTTTGCGAACGACCGAATGACCAGGTCCCCGAGAGATATTGGCAAACAAACACACCACTGGGCCACTGGCACCACTGCGACATACATACAAGCCAGCATGGCCCATCGTCCGCTCCGTTGTGGCTTCGGTCCAGCACCCGCCCGTCTCTCCAGTCGGCCAGTCCGGACCCTGTCGCGCTGAGTGGCGGATCGGCTTCCAGGCTTTGGATTGGGCAATGCGACCACTCAGGTCTGAAGCGTGAGCTATCTAGGGTCTAGGCCAACACCTGTGACCTGGATCACCGAGCAGATAGAGCCTAGCCCTGTGGGGTGTCAGTTGCCCATCATCGGATCTACCTCTACACCTTTCACCGACTTCGAAGCCCGAGATGCCGTCCGTGACGAAGACGACAAGAGGGCGGCCGGGAAACTCCCGTCCATACTAGTCGAAGACAGGCACGGGGTCCCAGCCCGATAATAAACAAAGCCGCCGAGAAGCCTGAGATTCAGAAGTCTGAGCTGCAAGCTCCCGGGAGGCTTGCTGTCTCACTCGAACCTTCTGATTCGTTTGATCGAATAGATGCACAGTCAGCCACATCTCGGATTGTTCATGTATACTTTCTGCAAGCCTCTAAAGGCTGAAGCAGTTCCCAAATTTAGCTTCAACTTGAGACGCTGATTCTCCTACCTAGTGCAGGCAGCCCAGATTCATCCGACATTATGGAAAGCAAGCTGCAATCCGAAAGTCTAGAAACTGCTGGTCACGTTGCGGTGACTTTGATGGACCGAAAACATTGCATGGGAGCAGCAAGAAGACCGAGCTCTCTCTCCTGGACTTCACAGCCCAGACCGCTCACAATGCGCGGGTTCAGGCCGCAGTCGCAATTCCTGGGCGCAGATCACTCACTCTCATAATTTACCCATCGGTGACATCAAAAGGCAGTCTCCTTCTCTCTCGCACCCCGATCTTAAGCTTTTTGGGGACGTGCAGGGATCTACCAGCCCTGGCCAGGGATCCCAGCACGTCCAACCTCACCTCGGCTCCCTATCCGTCATTAGATTGGCGGACCGGGGACCTGATGGTGAATGACGGTAACGATGGGAAGAGGGCCCTACGTCGCTTGCACGTTTCCCATTCCGATGCTCCGGGTTTCTGTTCGACGTGCCAAATCGTGGCGTCGGCCCCCCCTTTCCTACACATTTCATACCAAGAGCTGCTTGCTACCTTACCACACACACACACACACACACACACACACTATCACACCCACCGCGCCTTGCCAACCATCCTTCCAGCTGTCCGTACAGATTACGCGCCGTCAGAACTGCTAGTCTCCAGCCGTTGACTGCTGACTACCGGTATCTGCAGCGAGCGCTTTCTCTATACCGAAGTCATTCAGAAGCTTTGACATTGTCAATCATGGACAATAGGGGGATCACGTCTGTCCTCAACTTTCGTGATGTCGGCTCAACGGTGAACAAATTTCTTGGAAGAAGGTATGTCATTTTCAGGCTAATCTACCCTTACGTGCACTGGATAGAGACGTTTGTAGTGAGTTGAGGCTAACATCCGTGCGTTTTGCTTGTCAGACTCGTAAGGGAAGGCTTGGTATTTCGTTCCGCCAGACCAGGTATGCCACGCGACTCACAATCTTCGCAAACACGTTGATCCTTGGTGCTAATTTTCTCCAAGACGATGCCACTTCGGCAGACAGAAAACGCCTCCGCGAGGAGCTGGGCATCAAGGCGGTGATAGACTTGCGCACCAAGTAAGCGCATGTGTTTCCATCCTTGAAAACATGGAAAGACAAAAAGAACTTCCTCTGGAATGCAAGATCTCGCACTCTGATCAGTGACTGACGACATCTTTCAGAACCGAACACGTCAAGCGGGCGAAGAAGCGCGAGGCCGATCTCAAGGTGCCCACCCTTCTGGAGTCCAACGCTGCACTAGCCGAGCCATTCCAGATCTCGGGTCTGACGTATCACGAGATCAGAATTACTGGCGGCAACTTTGAGTGGTTCTTGATCAGACAGGTATCTTGGTGGGGTTTGTGGTGAGAAGTCCCTGTCTTCCTATTCAAGATCCCCCATAGTGGCTGATTCGTGATACGCAAACTTTAGCCGCCTTATCTGCCTCTTTACTCTCGGCTACCGCAATGAGGGCATCTCCATCTTGTCTCGGGAGGTAATGCTGCCGCGTGGCCTAGTTGGTTTAGGCCTTGACACCCTGGATCAATCTGGTGAGGAGATTGCAAAGGTACGAACAAACCATTCATTAGCAGCTTGGTGCGGGTACAGGCAACTAACGAGCTTTTATGCGCAGGCTCTCAGAGTATTCATCGACCCGGCGACTTCACCGACTCTGGTCCACTGCACACAGGGCAAGGATAGAACCGGGCTGATTGTCAGTCTCGTTCTGTTCATCCTGAATGTACCGCTCGAGGCGATTGAGCATGACTACATGCTAACCAGTGGTGCGCTCGAGTCCGAGAGAGAGGAGAGACTGGCCGAGATGAGAGAGATTGGTCTTACAGACGACTGGTTCGAGACGGCGCCTGACATGATTGCTCGGACGGCTCGTCATCTCGACGATGTCCACGGTGGGCTCAACGACTATCTGGACAAGATCGGGTTTGGCCAAGCCGATCGCCTGAAGCTTCGGGAGCTGCTGTTGTACTGATCCAGCCTCACTGAAGGAGACTTAATTCGTCACCCAAGCTCCGCACAGCAACACAGTAGCCCATGGGCAAACCTCACTCGCCTCGGAGCTCGGGTGATGTGAACTTTGGCTTTTTCATTTCTTCGTGAATCGTCCTTGCATCCAGCATCGGTACATCTTGAGCTTACGAGCCCTGTTGACGAGCATGCGTCTGTCGACACCAAGATCATCGACATTAAATTCGACCTTGGCGTCGTTATCCGACACTTCTTGTGTCTTGCCAGACCAGATTCGCTCAAGCTCTTCCTTTTCGAAGAAGTACACTCGAGTGCCGTCGCCGCGCACATAAAAGTTTTCATCGAGATAGCGTCCCTTCTTGAAGCGCACTTGAGCAAGGTCACCTCTTCCATAGTCGCGGAAGCAGACCTGGCCACCCGGCTTGAGCAGATGGTGGACGTTGGCAACAGCCTGGTTCCATTGATTCGGAGCCAAGGCAGAGAAGATGAAAATGAGTATAGCAACGTCCACAGATCCTTCTTCCAGCCCGGGAGGGAGCTCTTCGCTCGTAACGTCCCAAACGTCGGCTTGCATGTGGTCTTGATTGTAGGATTCATGGGTCCGCATGACCTCTACGGCCTGCTTCGAATAATCACAGGCATGGACTCTCAGGTTTGGATTCTTGTTGGTTGCGAGAATGGGAAAGGCGGTGTTACCCGCACCGGCGCCTATTTCAAGAATTGTCTTCTTGCCAGCGTCCTCCTTGGTCACCTCGGACAAAATAGGGAACTCTTGCTGCAGCCATTTTCTGTTTTTGAAGAAGTTGGCTGTATTGTTCTTGTAGAACAAATCCCACATTCTGGCTGGGTTGTTGTTCAATCTGTCTGAGGAGACTTGTTAGCAAGCTGTACCAAAGCAAGCGTCTTTCAAAATAATGGGTATTGATAGTGGTATAGTCAGATGGGAGCGAAAGACTAATTAAGGAAGCTTTCATCATAGAATTCAGATGAACTATGCGTATTGCTGGGGTATCATCATAATACCAGGGGATCGAAAATTGAAGTGCAAGGAATGTAGACTTACTTTTGTCAAAGTCGGAGACCGGAGACTGACGCTGCATCTCGTACTGCTGCTCAGAGTACTCCTTGTACACTTCGTCAGTCTCGACATGGTCCCAAGCGTTGAACTCGAAGACATCGTCCTGCTCGCCCAGCAAGCGACTGCCAAACTGGAAAGGATCGCTCCTCTTCTGGTTGAACTGAGGATCATGCGACCTGTGAGCCGCAGGCTCTTCCCCGGTTGCAGGCTCGGAAATCTGGAGCTCTGCCGCCTTCTCAACGAGAACTTGCTCGTCCGCCCCCGTGTTCTCAGACGCAAGAGACGTCATCTCACTGGTGTGAAGCCGAGACGAACTTTTCGACGGGTTTCACGACGGGTTTCTGTGTGGGCGGCAGCCTGACTCTCCAAAGTCCCAAGTGTTGGTTTGCAATGGAGGAGTGGTTGAGATGAAGAAGCTTTTGGAAATTTTCTCGCGCGTCGAACTTTTTGTCTCTGAAAAAAAAAGTCGTGGTGGGACCCGACCTTCGGGGTGATGAAGAGCCGCCAGCCGATGCGACCAATGCCCGATTGTGATAGACCCACTCGCTGCAACTACCTTACCATTGCCAGGCGCCAGGTGGTGTGGAAGGTATTGGGGAAGGACGGGAGCTTAGAATCGGTACGTACCTGAGCTAGAATGGTTCGCGGATTGCGACTGTCTCCCATGCCTCCCGTCAGGTACAGCCCGGCCAACTTAGATAATCCTCAATTAACATCTACCCATTGACGACACCTGATCGCGCAGCCTCCATCATCTGCCTTGTTATTGATGCACGTCACGTCCGATCGATACGCAAACCGGTAGACCTGACCGCGACAATGGCCCCTTCGCTCATCCGCCCCCAGGGCCACCTGTCCCCAGCCGAGGCCCTCGAGCTTGCCCAGAAAGCACCTACGATTCTACGAAACAATCCGACAGCGTTCTCATCGTCCCCCCTTCTTTCGCTTTTCTCGGCCTCGGAGACGCCCGAGATATGGACCATCTACGAGAACCTCCTTCTGGCCTGCCTGCGAACGGGCGACAGCCAGGCAGCACACCAGTGCCTCGAGAGGCTGGTCATCCGATTCGGGAACGAAAACGAGCGCATCATGGCCTTTAAGGGTTTGGTGAAGGAGGCGGAAGCTGATAATGATGGAGAACTTGCACAGGTACTCAAGGAGTACGAGACAATACTAGGACAGAACGCGACAAACATTGTCAGTTGCTCCTCCGCCATAGTATCACGGCAAACACTGACCTTGACAGCCTGTTGCGAAACGTCGCGTCGCCCTTCTGAAGTCGACAGGAAAGACATCTGAAGCAATTGCGGCTCTCAATGGTCTCGTCGACTTCAACCCTACAGATGCGGAGGCGTGGGCGGAGCTTGCCGACTTGTACCTTTCACAGGGGCTATACTCACAAGCTATATATGCGCTCGAGGAAGTGCTTGTGCTGACCCCGAATGCATGGAACGTGAGTGTCTCGTGGAGTCGACTTTGATTATGTTTCTGGCTGACCACGACTAGATGCACGCTCGCCTCGGAGAGGTATTGTACATGGCTGCGTCGGCCTCTGAAGGCTCTTCACAGCAACAACTGGCGGAATCAGTCAAAAGATTTAGCCGCAGCATCGAGCTCTGTGATGATTATCTCCGGGGGTACTACGGACTGAAACTGGTGCGTGCCATAAACGCGTCATAACGGACCGGCAATTGGGACTGACATGCTCTCCAGGTTACGAACAAACTTATCAAGGAACCGTCAAAGCCGTCGAGACAATCAGACTCGGAGGACTGGACCCTTCCTGACGTCGGTACGTTACAGAAGCTCAACGAGCTAGCAACGCAAAAGCTGGCCGACATTGTACGCCGCAACGGAGCGCATGAGAGGCTCTGGCAAGGTTACGATGAATCGGAGGTGGCAGCGGCCCGAGATCTGCTCTCGAAGGAGTCAGTGGACCTTGTGAGATGAGCACCGCGTCATCCGGACACGAAAAGCAAACGACCCTGGATTCTCTCATATCGTGACTGCATGGTCACGTTGACGGACTGGCATGCCAACGGGCGTGCTTCATGCACATCATATTAGGCGAGTAGCCATCATCGGCACGGGCTGTACGTCGGAATTAGCAAGCAATCGGAACATTCAAATCAAGTAGTTAACGAAGCTGTGCCTGCAACAAAACGTTCACGTGCTACTGGCAGTGCGCGAGTATCCTTGGCCGATCGGCCAGCCAATCGCGGACACGTCGCTCAACATTGGAACACGAAGAGACATTCAGCGAACAGCGGATCGTGTTGCTCGGGCGCTATTGTGGCCGCAATCGATGTCGAGACGTAGCTTGGGAGACTCTAGCTAATGGGCAGGAACAAAAGCGAGTCTGGCAGTGGGAATGTTTCACACATAGGCAGAGGCCGCCGCCAATACCGTCGAATGAATTATCTACCGCTCTCTTCTATTGCCTCGAGGTCTATCGGTCCCGCCGCGGCCACACCCGCAGTCGTGCCCAATTGTCGCAAACTGACATTCACTAGGTGGCAGGGCTGCATGTCATCCGAGGTTCCAGGCGTGCCGTTGGGAGCCCGATGGGCCAAGGCGGCCCACAAGATGCGCTGGCAGTGAGTCAGTGAGTTGATCCACGGATGGATCTCAGGCACCGTCATTCGGGACCCTGGCTACCTATGCAGAACAGAGTGCGCCGGCGTCATGAATCAAGACCGGTCGGGCAACGACGAAGCGGTTTCGGGCTCGAGGGCCGTTGGCAGAATGGACTGACGAGATAGATACACCAGTGCCAATCAAGTTGCGCGGTTGCCTTTGAGGTGTCACGTATATATCCGGGCAGTGCCATGTAAGTAAGCCGAAGGCAGAAAAAAAAGCACTTGTGTCGGTACCAAATTCTTTGACCGCCCCTGTTATCCCCGTATTTTCTCGATTTGTCTGGCGCTCTAGACGACGAAGAGAGAAGAATAAGCTAGAAGTTGAGTGACGCCGACGAGATACCTACCACGACAAGATACCTACCAGAATTCGGACCAGTCATCTGCAGAAGACAAACGTTGTTACACAAACTTTGTTGGTCCGCACGAAAGATTACCGCCGCCAATTTTTGGTTCCGCCTACGTTTCCAAACCATGTCGTGTATTTCGAAGAAGACTGTTACTCCTCGATTTATCAAGCAACTAGACAAGACCAAGTACCAATCACACGTCACGGGAGAAACCACCTGAAGATACGGGAGCGCCTAAGAATTTTTTGTCCAACATTGTGAAAACTACCACTGTTAGTACCGCTGTTGAGATTGTGTCGATGTGTTGTCATGTGAAGCAGGCTGCGTGATTGATTGCATAGGACTGCTACCGAAGACGACGGGTACGGAACGACAGAGGGTCCAACGATTCAACCGCGGTGGAGACTTCCATCGCTGAAGGTATACTTAGTACCTAGCGCCACAGGGTACGGTACCTTGACTATGACCCAGAAGTAAGCGGCGCTTCCAGACAGCAACCAACGTGGAAGGCCGAGAATTCCAGAGGAGGCTGCGGCGCTTGCCAACGTCGAGTTGAACTTACCTCAGTTACCTACTGCGGCTGTGCTCCGAGATACGGTGAGAGATTTGGGCGAGTAAGGAGACGTGAGGGTGAAAGGGGGGGGGGGGGGTTGCCACAGCTGACTGACGGCTGCCTGGATTCCAGTTCATCGAAGTCACTGCGAAGACGAGCTACTAAGAGTACAGGTGCGTGTGCGGGTGCAGGATATTACAAGTAAGAAAAGGGCAGGTTAAGGTAAGGTGAGGTAAGGTACGTTCATCCTCGACTTCCTACTGGCCCTCGGAACGGCGCAAGCCAAGTCGATGAGCCCGAATGGCCGGGCATTGGCTTTCGATGGCCCTAAAAGCAGGACGGGATGTTTCTGCACTAGGGATTGCGTACCCAAAGCAGTAGGTAACGAGCCTGTCGACACTTCCAGGTTCCATCTGCATTGTTGACGGGAGGTGATGACCTGCGATAGAGCAGAGAGGTCTCGTCTCGTCTTCGCCCCCAACCCTCGTTCATCCCTCACCCGTCGTCGCCCGTCCATCTGCCCCTCCCTCCCTCCGTCTCCGTCTCCCTCCTTCTTCCGTCATCCAAATAAATACTTTGCGCCGCCTCATCCAGCCTGCTCACACTCACACATTCTGACCGCCGATTTCTCTGCCCTGCATTTCTGGCTGTTTTCGTGTCGCCGTCCAACGTCCCTCTTTTCTAACACTGCAATTCTACGCAGCAACAACGGCGTCAAAGGACACTCGCGCCAATTTCGCAAACGAGACGGACAAAGCACATACTCTTTATTACTCCATATTACTTTACTCCAGTACCCTCTCAACCGGCAGCCCCACCAGCATAAACGAACGTCTAAAGAGGTCCGTCCCGCAACGGAGCCACGCTTCGAGCACGTTCCTCACCGAAACATTGAACCACCAAAAAAAATAAAGACATCCACTCTTCCACGGCCAGAACAGTCCGGCGCAGGACCAGCCCAGGCACGGCGCATTGAGAACTGACAGAGTTGGTACTTTGCAGTTGCCTGTGGGTACGTGCATTCTCTCGGTACCAAGTCATAGTATCTCCTTTCTTCCTGACCTAATTGTTTTCCCAAGCCTATCCGAACCAACCTCAGGTCGTTTGAATTATCACCCCGCCCAAGAGAGCAACCTAAATCTACACGAAGGAGAAAAAGCGCCACACGAAGCACTCGGTGCTCCATACCGCCGCATCCCAAAAGAGAGGACCCTTTGCGTCTGATCTGCCATCGCCCGTCTCTGTCAGGTCTCAGGTCTCAGGTCCTACCCATCCTTCCTCAAAAGGTGTCTCAAACCTCACCACACCACCACCACCACCACCACCGCCAAAAAAAGGGGAACCAAGTAAACAAGGTACGTGAAACGTTTGCTAAGGTTTCTATCGTTCTTCTGATCGCGCTTCAAGTTTCCTCGCGTCTCTGCAATTCCTCACCATCCCACACTCACACATTACTCATACCGACGCAAGTGTGTGGTGTTTTGTGATTCTTCATCTGTGTTTCCGTACCTTCACTTGAATTGCAATTCTCTATCTGCATCCGTGTCTGTATCCCCTGTCAAGAAGCTGTCAAGTGCCGGCTACCTGCAGACGGTCCGCAGGGCAACAAATTATCCGTTACCTCGGCCAGCTACCGACGTCGCTTGTGTTGTTTACTTTACACTTACCCCTCATTCTATTGTCGTCGTTGCCAGTGTTGTTACTTGTGATGGTCGATGTGCCTATCTTGAGGAAGTAAGGTACAGACAGCCACCCCAGACAACAATTGCCTTGGAGGCTCAGCCAACTATGGACCAGCTTGTTGGTGGCTGTCCGGACTCATACACAATAGCGTAGAGGAGGGGCAACATCGCAAGTCCATGACACACCCGACATTGACAATTCTACGGCCGACGCAACCCCCGGCCAGCGGAGCAGTGCTCACTGCTGACAGCCATTGAATGACAATCAGCCACCCACTTTATTCTGTTAGTCGATTGGATCTGTCGTCCATGGGCCATGGCCCGTCTCCCGGGCCACCCAAGTGGGACAACAAAGCAAGGGGGTCGAGACCGTCGGCCAGCCCAGCACCCAGCAAGGCCAGCACCCATCCCTTCCTCGTGCCCGCCTGGCGCCTCTCTATTCCCTTCCCTGCCCGTCCCCATACGATGGATGGGACCGATGGGTGCCTTTGGTGCTCCATCCTCTCTCCCCGTTTTTCTCTGCCCGGGGTTGGTCACGGCGTTTGCGATGCGAAGATCAGGGCTTCTTCTTCGTCCTGCCACCTCGGATCACTGAAGCCTGCCTGCACCAACCACAACTCTTGGTCAATTTGGCTTGTGCCCGGGTTGACGATTCCCTCCCACTTGACCCTCTTCCCAAGTCCCTATTACCGGTACTTTCCTTAGCCTGTACGGCCTGCGAGAGCGGGCTGAGAGGATGGGATGGGATGGCGGGGTTGGGTTGGGCTCGCCCTGGGTGGTCGTAGTGACCGCCAGAAGAGCCATTGTGTTTTTTCTTTGTGTACATTCGCTTCCCCTCCACCCCCTCCCCCCTCCCTCCATTCTCTATGCCTATTTTATCGTGTCTGTGTCTGTGTGTTCATTCCACATGATTCACCGGAATGTGTGCTGATCTGAGGCCTGTAGCTTAGGTGGTATCAGTACCCATACTACCCAAGGTAGTCTAGGTATCTTGCTACCTTGTACTCCCACAACGCGGCACTACGGACGGATACGCCTTCTAGTCGCTACTCCGTAAAGTACCTAGTGCTTGAAGCTCGAGGACTCGTCTGCTGTGTCGACCGTTGCCCGCTTTTTGGTTTTGCTCTCACCGACAACCCCCGTCTGCCGGCTACCGGATCCCTGAAGACCAACCGCTTAATCAGGCAATTGAGGTGCCCAGCACGATTCCCTCTCCTCCCGCTCCGTCCAAAAGTGGGACGGGTTTCTTCCACTTGGCTGGCACGCTCACTCTTTCTCTCGGCCTCTCAACCACTCGACGCAGCAAGGTACTTCTGCTGTGGACATCGCATCGCCACCCCAGCAGGCTTTCTTCTCTAAAGATCTCTCTTTAGGGCTCAGAGTTGCCAATTCATACCGATTCGTCCAGACCCGGCTGCGGCTTAGGTTGTGCATGAGGTGTACTTCGTGCCTACACAGCACTCCTTCTTGTATCCCCGGGCGCCTTGGCTTTGGCCTAGGTTGTCTACCCAAAAGGTTGTCTTAAACGGAGCGGTCGACTAGACCCGCAATAGCTGCCCAGCTGCCACAATTTTCCCTGCACCCAATCGCGCTTCTTTTTGCGCCCAACTGCACGATCTCGCCAAAGAGCAGGGGGCTTCCCTGGTTACATTCCCAAGCCCACGAACGAATATCCACCCACCGACTGCCGCCCTGCCCACCCCTCAATTTTCGCAAACCGTCCGTCTCGTCTCGACTCGTCCTGCAACTCAGTCCTTCGCACAGAAACTTTGTTTTCTTGAAGTCTGCCGCCGCCGTCGCCTCTCTTACCGCTCTACGCTGCTGTCATCTGATCGCTTTGCTTTGCTTTCAATCTTAACCATCAACCCATCCTATCCTCCCTTTCCTTCTTCCGCCACCAGTTCGTCGCTTGGAATCCACCCACCCTTGTGCGAATTGCGCCAGGACGAACGCTGTACCCGACCTACACACCATCACATTCGTGCCCTCGACACCGAATTCCTGTTGGTTTCCCATAGAGGAACCCTGACTTTCGGCCACCCTATTTCATCCCACGTCCTCGCTCGATTCACCCCTTTGCTCCGACTTTCTTGCGAGATCGTCGTGAGTAAAGGGTCTTTTTCTTCGCCACAGACTTCCTCATGTCGTCCGCGTAAGTCTTATATTTTCAACTACGCCAGGGACCAATCGACTTGGTGGCTTTCACCATACACCAGTCAACTAACACATCCGGAAGACGAGCACAACAATATCGACGCCCGGGTCATCTGTCGTCCGCGCCCATAGCGTCTCGATCCACCTCGGCAAGTGAAGACGACTCGTACTACCAAGGTAGCAACCACCACGACACTGAAGGTATAAGCTCTTCCGAAGCCTCAGAAGAAGATTCTTCCTTGGCAGACTCCGAGGATCTCGAACCAGACGACTCAGCCTCGAACGACGGTGCTCCCAGATACGCTCGTCCGCCGCTACAGCAACATCACCAGCAACAACATCATCAGCAGCAGCAGCAACGTGCACTCCCTTATCGTACACATTCAATCCCCCAACACACTGCTCCTCCTCCCGGTACAACCATTCCATACCCGTATCGGCCCGGTCCAGCGCCGAACCCTACCGAAAGCCTGGATTCTAACGAGGATTACCCGTCCCCCTTTGGCCCCCGTTCCGGCTACGGTCACGTACCGGCGCCTGGCCATGGGGGGCATCATCCCTACTATGGTGGTCGTGGTGGTCACCCGCAGGCTGGCTACCCTCAAAGTCACGTAGGCGGCTACGGCGCCCCGAGTCCATACGGCCATCCGGAACCCCGGATGTTGGGATATGGTGGCTACAATCACAATGCGTTTTCACCAATGTCGAATCACAGTGGGCAAAGCTACTTTGGGGGAGAACCTGGACGGTATGATATGATGCCGTACCAGCAACAGCACCCGCCGGCCCATTACAACCCTCACGGCTATCAACAGATGCAACATCACATGCAGTACATGGGCGGACAATTCCCTCCCCCTCCTCCTACAGAAGCACCGCAACCGTCCAAGACCCCCGCACCCGAGCCGCCACCAAAGGAGGACCCTGAGAAGAAGAAGCTCCAACAAGAACTCGAGCTCTTCAAAAAGATGCAGGCTGAGAAGGAAGAACAGCAGAAGCAGAAAGAGCTGGAGGAGAAGCTTCGCAAGGAAGCAGAAGAGAACATCAAGCGACGAATGGAGGCCCTGAAGGAGGCCCAAGAGATTGCTCAAAGGGAGATTGAAAAGGCAAAGATTGAGGCCGAAAAAGCTGCTAGAGAGGCTATCGAGGCTGAGCGCAAAGCCGAGGAGCAGAGACAAAAGCTTCACCAGGAAGCCATGGCTAAGGTCGAGCGTGAAGCCAGGGAGAGGTTGGAACGCGAGTTGAAGGCAGAAGCTGAGCGTAAGAGGCTTGAGGAAGAGGCCCGCGTCAAGGCCGAAGCCGAAGCGAGACAACGGCTCAAGGAGGCAATCCAGGCTGAGGCCGATGCCAGGGCCAAGGCCGCCGAAGAGGCCGAGGCCAAGAGAAAATGGGAGGACGACATGCGCAAGAAAGCCGAAGACGAAGCTCGTGCCAAGATGGAGGCCGAGAAGAAGGCAGCTGCCGAAGCTGCGGCGGCGCAAGCGAAGCTCGAAGCCGATCTCAAGGCCAAGGCTGAAGCCGACTGGATAGCCAAGGTCGCGGCGGAGAAGAAAGCGGCTGAGGAGGCTGCGGCGGAGAAGAAGAGGTACGAGGAGGAGATGAGGTTGAAGGCCGAAGCCGCAATCGCTGCCGAGAAGAAGGCTGCCGAGGAGGCTGAGGCAGCCAAGAAGAAGTATGAGGAGGAAATGAAGGCCAAGGCCGAGTTCGAAGCCCGCACCAAATTGGAGGCTGAGAAGAAGGCCGCTGAAGAGGCTGCTGCCGCCGCCGCTGCTGCCAAGAAGGCCGACGAGGAGCTCAAGAAGAAGTACACCGAAGAGGCCAAGGCCAAGATTGAGGCCGACAAGAACAAGGGTAAAGACAAAGCACCTATCAAGTTCAAGGATGCCGTGGGCAGGAAATTCAGCTTCCCCTTCCACTTGTGCTCAACCTGGACAGTACGGTTACTTTCCAAAACTCCCACTCTCGCTGGCAACAAACTGACCTTGATTTAGGGCATGGAAGAGCTCATTAAACAAGCTTTCATTCACGTGGACGTCATCGGACCGCATGTACAAGAGGGTCACTACGACTTGATTGGGCCTAATGGAGAAATCATCTTGCCCCAGGTCTGGGACAAGGTGGTCGAGCCTGACTGGACTATTGAGATGCGAATGTGGCCCATGGATAAGGCGCCTCCGCGCATGCCTATACCGCCGCATGGCATGCCGCTCGACTCTGCCACCAGAGAGAGGATGGCGCATATGCAAGGCATGAGGCAGCACGGTCATGCTCGAATGGGTAGCTTCCCTCCGGGTATGGCTCCTCCGGGTGGCAGGCCTGGCGGCGGCGGCCCACATCCACCTCCCCCACCGGGCTGGGTCCCTCCCGGCGTACGTCCCGGCGGTCACGGTATGCCTGCCAACGTCGTTACGGTTGAGCCCGGCAAATCCTCCAAGCACAAATCGAAATCCAAGGGCTCGATGCTCAATTTCTTGGCCGGCGGTGCCGCAAAGGCTCCCAAGAAGAAGTAAGTTGCCCAAGACTATTGCCACGCTGGTGCTGTGCGCTAACAAACTACACAGGAAGAAATGATCACCAGCGCGCGCACATCGGAGATTTCCTTCAACTCTAAAGACCTGTTACGATCACACACAACTCAACGAACTTGCCGGGCTGGGGGGTCCTTATTTGTTTTTACATATGATACCTTGTCGCGCCTTCCTTTTCCACATTATTCAGATTCCCGTCAGTCAGATCGAGCCTCCGAAATGCATCTTACGGCAACCACGGTTCATTTCGACGATCTTATAACGCATGTATGCCGGAGTATGAGCTGCTTGAGGGCGGGACACCTATTTCCCCAGAGAGAGACCGTACATGTTTTGGCGGAGCATTGCATGCATCATGGGGGCAAGCTAGGGGGTACGACATTTTTACCGAGGCATGGCGCAAAAAGAGGAGGACGAGCCTGTGAGGCCCATTTGGTAGATGTTTATTTTTTCGGTTTATTCTTCTTGCACAGACAGCTATGGTGTAGTAGATTATGGGCGACGAAAACGAACATTGCACTGTTTTATATATTCACTTCCTTGACAATGACCTCTAATTGACTCTACTTCCAAGTTGTTTGCCATGGCTTTATTAGTCTACATGTTTTACAAATCTTCCACAGAGCTTTTACTGAGAAGTTCGAGTAAGGACCCTTTATAGTCTAGGAGTACCCAAAACCGCCTTTACACGTTTCTGGAACGCCTCAATCATGACACCAGCCACCTTTTCAGAAACCGCAGCGCTGACGGCCGCGTACAACGGGTTCGCAAACTGGAACCGAATCACCAGATCCACCTCGGTGCCCGTCCCGGAGGCAAGCGGCCTCAGCTGCCACTTTGTCACCAAACTCCTAAACACGGCGCCGCCCTCGCCTCCATTACCGGGGCTCGCGCCCTCCACGTCCGCACCGCTGATCGCCTCGACGCTCTTCCCCGGAACGCAGTGTAACCTGCTCGTGAACGTCTCCTCGAAGCCGCCCCAGCCGACGCGGAGGTCGGCTTGCGTTGGGTACCGACGTCCGCCGTTTGCTGGGTCCGGGTCGGGTGCGGACCAGGCTGTCACGCGGGAGGCGGCGCAGTAGGGGACGAAGGTCTGGTAGGCGTCCACGTCAGATATCACGTCGTAGAGCTGCGTGGAGGCGTAGGGCATTGTGCGGGTTGCGGTTAGGACTTGCGGGGCGGTGGAGGGTGCGAGGTTTGGGAGGTTGAAGAAGGGTCGTCGGGAGGGGGTGGTGAGGAGGGCTCGGGAAGAGGTGAGGGAGGTTCGTAACGGGGTTGGAAGGCGGAGGAGGGGTCTTGCGGTTGCCATTGCGGTGTTCTTTGGTCGTGGGTTCGGGGGAGTTTGGTGGGAGGTTTCGAGGTTCGCGATGCGGGTGTGGAGGATGTGGGAGCTCGGTATTAAGTCAATGAGTTACTTTTTTTCGCTTGTAGTGTACAATGATGCTGACAGAAATAGTAAATAACGAGTGTTTTGTATCCAGAGCCCTCCCGCGAGGTTCTTGTTGCGCCGTCCGAAATGCTGAGATGCTTGGGTGAGTTCGTCCAAAAGAAAAATGTCGTGGAGCTGGGCGCGATGACGATTAGAAAGAAGCTGTCGGTCGGTGTTAGTGGGATTGGGTTTGCGGTCTGCACCGGCCGTACAGTGCCCGATGGGGCGGGAAGCTCATAGACACAGTACCAACTCAGGTAGAGGTCGTTGAGCCCCAGCACATCATTATCGGGCTGGTCTTTGGTGGGGTTTGGATTATCGAGCAGCGAGCAGCGCTACAGCACCACAGCTCTCTCCACAAGCCAAGTTGGCAAGCCACCGCAAGCCCGCCATCAACCGTCCCGCATCTCCGACTCTGACATCCCTTGGACATCAATCCCCAAGGCGACGGCGACGACAACGAAGACGACGAAAATACCACCGGAGCCGACCTCCCTCCACAATGTACCATAGAACACGGAGTACCTGACCGAACCTCCCCCAACTCTTCGCTCCGAAACTCGATACCTTTAGCCCTTTCTAGGCTGCCTTCCGCCCCTAGCTTGGGGCTGTTGTGATTGTCAAGATGTAGGTCTCTCTCTCTCTCTCTCTTGGGGAGATGGATGACGTTCGCATAAACAAAGTCACCACACTCTGCGCCGCAAGGGAGCTTTCAGCGCGCTGACTAGACCGGACGCATTACCTCAGGTTCGAGAAATCCCTCTACGACCTCATTAGAGGCTTGCGAAACCATAAAGGCAACGAGCGCGAGTACATACAGAACAGCTTGAAGGAATGTCGCGCAGAAGTTCGCGGGCAGGACATGGGTGAGCCAGACAGATCCCTCTCGACCTGGAGGGTTTCGTATCTTTGGGTCACCAGGTAGAGAACGGTTATGCTGACTTGGGACGTTTCTCTCTCTGCTAGACGTCAAGGCGACGGCGCTGCTGAAGCTGGTCTACCTCGAAATGGTTGGTCACGACATGTCGTGGGCCTCGTTCCACGTTCTCGAGGTCATGTCGTCCCAAAAGTACCACCAGAAGAGGGTCGGGTACCTGGCCGCTGTCCAGAGCTTCCGTCCTGATACTGAAGTGCTCATGCTTGCTACAAATCTTCTGAAGAAGGTAATGCTAGCCGTTCCGTTCTTGCGCCCGAAGGGTGGTGGGATTTGCTGGATAATACACATAGGGCGAGTGAGGTTAACTGACACTTCTGCTTTCAGGACCTGTCGTCGACACAAGCGACCACCATCTCCCTACCAATGGCTACGCTGCCGCACATCATCAACCCTTCCCTCGCCCTCTCGACCCTCTCCGACCTCCTCCCACGCCTCGGTCACTCGAACCCGGCCATTCGCAAGAAGACCATTGTAACGCTGTACCGCCTAGCGCTGGTGTACCCGGAGACGCTGCGCGCGGCGTGGCCCAAGATCAAGGAGCGGCTGATGGACAAGGACGAGGATCCGAGTGTCACGGCCGCCATTGTCAACGTGGTGTGCGAACTGGGATGGAGGAGACCGCACGATTTCTTGCCGCTGGCTCCCAGGCTATTTGAGCTCCTTGTCGATGGCGGTAATAACTGGATGGCCATCAAGCTGATCAAACTGGTATGTTTGGCTGAATTGGTTGTGCTGCCATATGGGTTACTGACAATGGGTGCAGTTTGCGACCTTGACGCCGTTAGAACCTCGCCTCGTTCGAAAGTTGTTGCCACCTCTGACTGAGCTGATCCGGACGACACCAGCCATGTCACTACTCTACGAGTGCATCAATGGCATCATCCAGGGAGGTATTTTAGGCAGCGCGGACGACGTCTCAGGCAGAGAAGAAATCGCGACGCTTTGCGTGAATAAGCTCAGGGGCATGATCATGGTGGATGGCGACCCAAACCGTGAGTGCTAATCTTTGCCGGGTAAACTTTGAAAGCTAACCCGGGCTAGTGAAATATGTTGCATTGCTCGCATTCAACAAGATTGTCGTGACACACGCGTTCTTGGTGGCACAACAAGAAGATGTCATTCTTGAGTGTATCGACAGTGCTGATATCACTATCCGTATCAAGGCCTTGGACCTCGTTCAGGGCATGGTCAGCAGTGACAACCTGGTATCTATTGTGAGCCGTCTGATGAAGCAGCTCAAGTCATCTGCGCCAAAGAGAGACCGGCCAGGGGCACCCCTCGGCCCAGACACGGGAATGGACTCGGAGGAGGAAGCAGAGATCGAGATACACTCACCGACCAAGGCTCAGGAAGAGCCACCACTTCCCGACGACTACAGGAGCGACGTCATCGGACGGATCCTGACCATGTGCTCGCAGAACAACTACAGCAGCTTGACTGATTTTGACTGGTACATCGACGTACTTATCCAGCTTGTCCGCATGGCGCCAACACCACGATCAGTTGAGACCGAACTTGACTCGGTCGCTGCGTCTGGAAAGTCAACCGCCGGAGACGTATCAGGGAGGATCGGAGACGAGCTGAGGAACGTCGCGGTAAAGGTTCATGCGCTACGAGGGGCGGCGGTCCGCGCCGCCGACCTCATCATTCAACAAATGAATGCGGACACACCCGCCGGTCACTCGCTCTCATCAGCATCGCTGAAGTCGACGTCTTGGTTGGTCGGAGAGTACGCAAACCAGCTGGCATACCCTGAAGACACTCTAGGAAACCTACTACGCACATTATCTCGCACAAATATCCCCGATATTCTTACGACTAGTCTGCAGGGCGTCACAAAGATATTCGCCTACATTGCAGGGAATGAAGGTCAGCCATGGACTCCTGAATGGAAAACAAAGATCTCGCTGCTTTTGGCGCGCGTCATTCACACGTTGGAGCCGCTTGCTCTTCACCCGAACCTTGAAGTTCAGGAGAGATCCGTCGAATTTATTGAACTTCTGAAGCTTACCGCAGAGGCGGCCTCTGGTCAGGCGGCGTCAACCGAGCATACTCACCAGGACCCCCCGTTGCTGCTGACCCAGGCCATTCCATCTTTGTTCCAAGGGTGGGAGCTCAATTCCGTCGCTGTTGGAGCGCAGCGGAACGTTCCCATGCCGGAAGGCTTGGACCTGGATGAACCAATCCATCCGAACCTGGCACATTTGCTCGCCCAGGCTGATGTGATACCAATGGAGGCCAACGACGCGGACGACTTTGAGGTGTACTACCATCAGCGCCCGGCGCCTACCAGCATATCCTCTACTGAACCAGCCATCAGCAGGATCGCCGACGTCCCGGCAGAGGAGGTTGTCAGCTCGTACCAGCAGCAGGCGACGGAAGACAGCTACCTGGACGCAGACATCGTGGCCAGGAGAAAAGCCGAGCGCAATGAGCGCAACCGCGACGATCCCTTCTACATCGCCGCCCCTGACGCGGCACCCAGGACGTCGACCCCGATACACAACATTCTTCAAAAGGAGAACGGCCCAGATCTCGACATAGACTCTATACCGATAATGCAGTTGGATCTCGACAAGCTGGGCAGCTCGGCACCCGGTCCCACATCTCCCATCAACCGACCGCAACCGCGACCGAGGCAGAGGGTCGTCATCGCCGCGGACGAGACACTCGCCGGCAGCGGCGTCTCCACACCTCGCAATTACGAATCGGAGAACAACTCGGACAGCTTCACCAAGTCGCGTGCCAAGAAGCTCCGCCAGGGTCTCTTGCACGTCGACTCGTCCACGCTCGGCTCCCTCAGCCTCGAGGGCGACGCAGCGTCGTCCAGCAATACGCCGTTTGACTATGAGCGGCAGCAGCGCGAGGAGGCGGAGATGGCGCAGGCGATGAAGGAGGTCGAGAGGCTCCGCCTCGAGATGCAGCGCGCCAACGAGCGCATCCAGGTCGCGCAGGGCGTCGACGTTGCCGGCACGGTGGTGAAGAAGAAGACCAAGAAGAGCAAGAAGACGGAAAAGGCTGGGGCCGGGGCCGGGGCCGGGGCCGGCGAGGGGTCGGCTGTCAAGACGAAAAAGAAGAAGAAGAAGGCCGCCGTCGCCGACGGCGGTGCCGCGCCGCCCGCTGTGCTCTTGACGGACGACGCGGAAAATAGTGCTGGCGGCGGGGAGGACAGCGCGCTGATACCGCCTCCCGAGACGGCCGTTGAGGGGTCCGGGGAGGGCGGCTTCGATGCTGCTGGTCCGCCGGTCGTCGTGCCCAAGAAGAAGAAAAAGAAGAAGACGACCAAGATGGCTGAGATTGCGGGTGATAGTGGTTGAGGCAGGGCAGTCGTCAAAGGTGTGAGATGAGAGCGGGACAATAACTCTGGCATGCATAGTAGAATAAAAAAGGTACAGTGTTGAATGACACACGGATTGAGTAAGATTATGGGTGACGGCGAAGAGCTTGTGGCCAATATAGCTTGTGAATTTCGATGCTGTATCATACCGGTGGATCGATTTCCTCCCGTCTCTCCAGATACCATCACACACATATCTCACAACAAGGCATCTATCATTTCACGTCATTACAAACACATCAATCTTTAAATGTTTGAGGAGTACTCCTCTTCTCTTGTCAACAATTCCTTCCCCGGCACACTTCAGTCGGGTCTGTCCGTCTTTCTCTCATCATCCTCTTCCTTCTCTCTTCTCGTGGGGTTTTGTTTACGTACGTACAGACATGATACAAAGGGGACACTGAGGAATCGCTTCCCCAAACGTCACCGTCGTTTCGCGTTTCAAACCGCCAAAAAGGAAAAATCAAAAACCAGCCAAAAGTGGATTTCCCCTTTTTTTTGTGTTGCCCTGCAAACCCGCCGTCCATAGCACATAAGTCCTTCCAGCGTCCGTCCACACGTCACAAAACAAAAGGGGTGTAGTTTGGTTTGAAGAAAATAGACATTAAGAAAGGGAAAGAAAAGGGAAAACCTCAAGGCCATACAGCACATAGAGGCATGGCTTAAACACGCTTGCTTCAGTCATCCATGGGCTTATCCTCGAGTGTCACTCCGCGAGGCGCGGTGAGAGAATCGCGAGGAGTCGATGAGCCACTGTCCGTTCCTGCGCTAGGTGCGGCTGCCACATGTCGGTCCAGAGAGTATCGAACACTGCTGCGTCCCAGGCTGTTGCGCTTCTCAACGGGTGATTCGAGAGCCTTGATTCGGGCCACGACTCCCTCCGCTGCAGGCGCAGGCGCCGCCGCCGAGCCGTTGGTTGTCGTCTCCTTTGGCGAGCTGGTCTCACTGCCAGGAACCTCGAGACTGGACCTCTTGGCGCCAACAACACTGCCCAAGCTAGAGCGGTGACGGTCGACTGCCGACGCAGGTGGGCTCGTCTGGATCGGGAAACGAGTCTCAGGGCCACCCGTGCTTCGGTCACGTCTGTGACCACGGGGGCTGGGAGCAGGGCTTGTTGCGCGACCGCGGCTGCCGGCGGCCTTCTCGAGCAGAGCTCTATTCCGCTCTTCCATGTTGGCTCTCCGGTTGCTCTCGTCAGTGCTGATTGCGCGGGGGCGATTGTTGTCTCTGATCGATCCGCCGTGGCCAGCGGTAGACATACGCTTGAGTTCGCTGAAGATTGCGTCTTTGTTGTTAAAGAGGTCACGAACGAGTCTGTAAGCGTGCTTCTCTTCCATGGTCAAGGAGGTCTCTGTGCGAGGACGCAAGATACAGGGTGCAATGCCCGTAGCCAAAGACGCGATGTAAGTCTCATCAGCCGAGGTAAGGTCAATTAGGCGGGTGAAGTGATTCATGCAGGCGTCAAGTGTTGCGATATTAGTAAGGCGCATTTGCGAAAGCGTCTGTTGCAGCACAGGTACGCGAGCAGAATCATCTTCCTGGGTTTGAGTCTGGTAGATTGTTCTGACAATCTCGTAAACATGAGAGGAAACGAGGGAGTCTACACAACTGTTAGTCCATGGCTTCTACAGAACTGTTGGGGGTCCTCTCACCAGGCAATTCAAGAAGATACAGCTTAAGCAGAGCCGCAACAACTGGGATATCGAATTCATCAAAAACTTCGGCCGCAACGGGCTTGCCGTCATTCAGCTTGCCACGGAGCTTGTGAATCTGCTGGAGTGGGACATCGACCAGCCACACGTTCCGTCTGGCCTCATCACCTTCTAGGTCAGGGTAGTGGTTGTCGAGGTAGGTCAAGATGGTGGTGACGATAATAGGCACTCGCTTCTTATCCGCGCGCGCTCTTGCCTCGAGATCCACTCCGAATGTCTGCTCGTCGACCTTGTTGTAGTAGTTTTCGTATACCACCACCTTGGGAATGAAGCTACCGGTCCGGTAGTTCTCCAGTAGATATCTGAGGTCCCCTAGAGGCTGGACAGTCTCCTGGAAGAGCATCATGTGGTCCACAGCAGATTGCATGCTTGGAATGACGTTGCTGATGGTACCGGAAAAGTCCAGGATGACGGTCTTGATGGCCTTGAGACGATCCAGCTCGCAGCGCTCCAGGAAGCGGAGGTGAATGAAGATGGTCTCCTCCAGATCGCAGCGCATCTCGTCCAACTTGCGCACGCCACCCTTGTACTTGTCGTCGGCTTCCCTGGCCTCACGGCGTAATCGTTCCGGCGGGGTTTCGTTGGGGTGTTGGTTGTTGAGGACGTTCCAGTTGGCGAGGTATTCGCTAACAGTTCCGACCACGGGTGAATCCGACGACTCGGATGCAGGAAGGGAAAATGTGCGACCAAGAGGCGACTTCTTATCGGGGATACCAGACAGCTTGAAAGCCTTGGGGCGCCACTGATAGAACATCTTGGAGCTGTTGGCAAAAGTGCTGCCGACGTTGCCAATCAACCTCAAGTATCCGTTCGAGATAAGGTCCTGTCCGATTCTCTCGGCATAGCTAACGCTGGTCGTGTTCATGTGCCTCTGCAGGTACTCGACAATGTCTGAGCCAGCCGATGTGTTCTGGTAGGTTCCGAGAATGGGCACCTTGGTCTCCCCAAGCTTGATGGTGTTCAGCATGTGCGCCAAAATCTTCTTGACTTGCTCGGGCTGGTAGATCTCGTCGCCGATCTCGATGGGTTCGTCATCGTCTTCTTGGGGGTGAAGCTCGGGCTCCTTGTTTTCGGAGACCTTGATCTCGGGAATGTTGTTCTTCGGGCTGTTTTCAGGGTCCTGAAAGGCCAGCTTGGTTTCCTCCTCGATATCCTCAACCAGTCGGCACTTGTTGAAGTAGGTGCTCCTCAGCTTCTTGACCAACTCGGCCTGCCTGTCGTGCGCCTTGATGCGAGCTTGCAGCTCATCCTGTGAGTCCTGGATGCGCGACTCGTGGGCATCGCACCAGCGCGAGAAAGGGTTGACGACCAAGTCCCGAATGTTCTGAGCAATCTTCTTGTGGTTTTTGGCGCCCTCTTCCATCTCAGTCCGAACACCATCGAAGGCCTGTGATGAGGGTTAGCACGAGGCCCGGGAAAGCTCTCGGTGGGGACGTTATGCGAACCTTGCGAACGCTGGCACCGTCATCTTTTGAGAAACCGCCCTGGACTTTGTCTGCGTTCGGTGCAATATCTCCAAGTCGCTGACTATAAATCTCCTCGGCTTCGGCACGCATTCGAGCGACGGTCAGGACTTGTCGGTTTTCTTGGACGCCTTGCTGCAACTTGCTGAAGAGGACGCCGAGTCCTAGCGCGAAGATGCTTAGCCAAAGCGCGAGGGGTTGCAGTAGCGCATTCAGTTGACTTACCTGCAGCATAGTCGCTGGACCAAAAGGAATCTTCGAAGCCCGGCATGATGCCTAAAAGCTCCTACTTGTCGCGGACGATGATGCCGTGTTGCTACGGGTTGAGGCTGAAAAGTTTGGCGGGCAGAAAGAAAAGGAGGCGGCGAGAAATGTTTCGTTTAGTCGTTATGCAGGAGGCGGGAGGTGGGAGGGAAAGATGGGTTGGTATTTTCGGCTCCAGATTAGAGACGCTTTTCTGGCGGTTGCGAGAAGCGAAGGAATACGTCAGCCGCGATTGAGGCGGCAGTGCAGACTGTTCTTGGAAAAGACAGTCGGCAACAAACAAAACGAGAGATAAAAGAGACAGGTGCAGGAAGGTGATGCTGTATTGTTCGTTGTCGTCGTCCTTTGTCAGGGGCACATGCCAGTTGGAGGAGGAAATTTTGGAGAGCAGAAATGGAAAGGCTTTGGAGTGAAGGTGCTGGTGGTCAGTGGTTGCTGACAGGTTCAAGGTTCAAGGTTGAAATGCAGGTTGGGGGGGGAGGAAGGATGGAAGGAGAAGCTGCTTCCACTTTGGACTTGCTGCTGCTTTGCTCTCAATGCTCTACGTATTCCTTCCTCCCGGCTCCTCCTGCTTCCAGATTACTACGAATAGGAACCTGGATCCGTACTGTGCGTCCAGCTGTGCGTCCCTCGGTCTCCGCAGGGCCATCAGTGAAGCTTTACGACGTGCGGCACCTCTTCCCACTTCATCATCCACCTCCTGCAGCCAACCCGGTGACACGGCATCACACGGCATCAACCTAGATCAAAGGTCAGCAGCATGGCATTCTCCTACGCATACCTGGTGCCCTTGGAGGGCTCCTCCTCTGCCACTGCCAACAATCAGCCCAATGAACCGGGGCTACAGAGACACTATCCGTAAAGCAGTCTAGCAATGCTGCAATGGCAACGGTCATTGGGGCCTTGCTTTGCGTGCCTTGCCTTGGTCCTTCAAGTTTGAACTTGGAGACGTGGCATTCCATTCCATTGGTGGTCCCCTGCCTCATGACGAACGATCGAACGAAAGCTGGCCCCTCAGGCGGCAGACCCTCAGCCGGGCTCACTGGGCGACTCGAGTAGGCCTGGGGAGTTGGGACCTTGGCTAAAGAGCCGATGATGATGGGAGGAGCCATCTGAAGCCAAAAATACATCATGCTCCAGCCACTGCCCGATCTCCACTCATCTCCTTTACCGCTATGTGACTGGTCAGAGTCTCAATTGCCCCCGGTTATGCTCCATTCAAAGCAAATGACCCTGAATGAGGCAGCCAAGCAGAAGCAAAGCACAAAGCTACCGATGTCAGGGCAAGGACAGCTTGTGTGAACCCCCTGCATTCGTCTCTGTTGCAGAATGATGGGGCTATTCCCAGCTGGACTGGAGAGACTCGGCTCATGCTCTCACTTGCGAAGCGAACCCCAAAGACGTTCTCAGCCCCCTTCTCACAGGGCTGACCTCCCAAACCAGTTGCCGCCGCCAATTTGGCGCTGTATTAAGCATCATCTTCACAATTTATGCAGTCCAGGATAAGGTTTCCTCGTCTCTATTCAGAGTTGATGCCTCTGGAGACGTCAAAATCGGCTATTGTCTTTGTTCACTTCTTTGTTGCTGAACGAAACTTTCCATTGACCACTGCCACCGTAAGTTGAAACAGAAGAGAATTATCGCTGATCACCAAACCCCTTCCTCTAACCCCTGAGCCCCCTCAATGCCCATTGGGACGGTTCCCCAGACGACAAAAGGCCGTTGTTAATAATTAACAAGGCCTGGTCTGCGGCCTACTAGCGAGGACGAAACCCAACGATTGCCCCATTCAGTCCGTAATTTTCTCCTGTCAGGCGTTACCCACAGAGCCCAGCAGATGGGAATCATTCCATCGCTGGGTTGGCTGGGGTAAGTCCAAGTGAACGCAAGAGCCAGCCATCATCCGAAGTTGCAAAGTCATGACTGGGAGCTTCCCGTCAAAGAGGCCCGTTCCCGAAATTCTAATCCACAAGCCCACTCTAGTGTAAGGTAGTCAGTGTTTGTCCCTACTCTCGGGTCTCGATGCATTGTCCTGGAGCAAGAAGACTCATCTGTCCAATTATGGATTCTACTGTAGACTTAAGAGACCTCGAAAGCAAAACTTCTCTAAGGAAACAACGACAATTGAGCCATAGTTCACGCCAGCCAAAATTATACGACATTTACTGGGCTGACTGTCGCGCCAGACTGTTCGTGCTAAGACTAAGTCTACTGAATTCATCAAGAACTGTAGAATATACCATGATTGGGCTGCCCGTCATGTCATGTCTCGTCAGTAATTACAAGAGTACGGCGTATTAATGAACGTTGCTATTGGGATTATAGAAATCCTTACAAACGTCTCCAAAGTTAAGCAAGTCCTCAGACAAGATTTTGGGAGCTTCCCAAACGGTCCCTTATCGCCGGGATCAAGTCGCAGATAAGAGTCTCACGCAATCGCAGCTCGGAGCTTTGACCCCAGGCACTCTGTGACGTGATTCCTAATCAACCAAACGTATTGCAACATGCCCGTAGTCTGAACCCCTCGGCTTCCCTCTGTGAAGGATCATTGACTTTCACAACAAGTCAGTATCTCGTTTTAAGGCGGTCTTCAGACAGCCTATTGACAGTAAGTTGTCTGAGTTCATACGAGGTCGCCAACTCGTTACTTGCACTTATGATGGTGTAATTAGGCAAGCAGCGCTGACGGATAACATAGCCGTGAGACACAGACCTAAGATTGCTAGTCACCCAGGTCACACCCAACGCCATGGACGAAAAGAAACAATTCATTTGTGGCGAGACTGGTGATGAGGCCCAACTGCCTCCTCGCAAGACTCCGTCTCCTGCGAAGAAAGCCGTTGTTGCTTGTTTCGCCCTGTGGCTCGTGACACTGACCTTTGGGGTCCGTCCTATGAAGTCATGCTATCATCAAATGAGAAAGCCTTGGGGCGTACCCCTTACCGTCGAGGAGAGGGCTCACAACATTCTATCCCATACCCCATTGATAGGTGCGACCACCGTGTGCATTTTGTACGACACGATGAGAAGTGCTGACCGAGCATCTTTGTAGATGGCCACAATGACCTCCCTATTCTCGTCCGAGGATTTTTCAACAACCACATTTACGAGAAGAACTTTACTGAGCCTTTTGAGAACGGCGGTCTTATTGGCCATGTTGATCTGCCCAGACTCCGTAAGGGCCAAAACGGCGGTGCTTTCTGGAGCGTTTACACTCCTTGCCCTGCCAATGGCAGTGACTTCTCTGACGAGAACTACGCCGAGAGTGAGTCTCGACCGTTCAAGTGACCCTAGATTCATGACTCTAATAAATGTGACTGTAGGCGTCCAGTGGACTCTCGACCAAATCGATCTCATGACCCGCATCAAGGACTCCTATCCCAAGGACTTCTCCTCCAGCGCAGACAGCGGCGCCGCTTTGAAGGCATGGGAGAAGGGCCAGCTCATCTCCCCTCTGGGGGTCGAGGGTCTGCATCAAATCGGCAACTCTGTCGCCAATCTCCGACGCTACCATGCCTTGGGTGTCCGCTACTCGACCCTCACCCACAATTGCCACAACAAGTTCGCCGATGCCGCGCTGCTCGAAAGCCCTCTGCGCAAGGCCGAACCTCTGTGGCACGGCTTGAGCCCTGCCGGTCGCCGTCTCATTCATGAGATGAACCGCGTCGGGTTGATTGTCGACCTCTCCCATACTAGGTAGGTTTCGAGGACCCGTTGATCCCCACAGAGGATGCTTTCTAACATCCCTCACAGCGCAGAGACACAGATTGATGTCCTTGGGGGCAAGGACTGGGAAGGCAGCAAGGCGCCTGTCATCTACAGCCACAGCTCCGCGTTCAGCGTCTGCCCGCACCCTCGCAATGTTAAGGACGACGTTCTCAAGCTCGTCAAGGAGCGTAACGCGGTCGTCATGGTCAACTTCGCGCCTGACTTCATCTCCTGCGTCGACTCCGGCAACGAGAACGGTCTGCCTACCTATGTCCCCGCCAACGCCACGCTCGATCAGGTCGTCAGGCATGTCCTGCATATTGGCAACCTGATCGGTTTCGACCACGTCGGCTTTGGCTCCGACTTTGACGGAATTGCATCAGTGCCCAAGGGTCTAGAGGACGTGTCCAAGTACCCGGATCTTGTCGCCGAGCTGCTAAGGCAGGGTTTGAGTGACGAGGACGCGGCAAAGGTCGTTGGTGGCAATGTTCTTCGCGTCTGGAAGGAGGTTGAAGCGGTTGCCGAGAAGCTGCAGAAGGATGGCCAACCTGTTCTTGAAGATGATATTGCAAGCCCGAAGTGGTAGGACGGTGCACGGAGATTAGGTATCAGTGGGTTCATCTAAGCCCCTCAAAGTAGTTCCTTCCTGTAGATAACACGATGGGTGAATTGTAACCAACAATTGATAGTACAAGTGGTATAGTTTTTCATAGTCATACATGCTTGGGTATACCACAGACCCGTCTATCTTGTACATTCGGTGGTCATCCAATGCGTACCACCTCAAAATCTAACCCATTCGCTTCCCAGATACCAAGTCGACAGCCACCACAGAGGGAGTTTACCATCGTCTGTTCGCAGAGTTGTGCTTCCTGGCCGACTCGATCTGGGTCCTCGTCCGCTGTCCTCTCACGGGGAGATTCATGGCGTGTCTTCTTCCTCGGTAGCTTCCCATATCCTTTAGTCTCATGACGTTTTGTTGTATAATCTTCCGCGCATCGCTTTCTATCGTCATTGTCGATAACTCTGCCGTAAGAGCCGTGACGGTTTTCGGTGGCAGAGCGCCGACTTTGGACATGGGGGAGATGGAGTATTTGGCCAAGATTCGGGATGATGTGGTCGGTCCGAGAGCGAAGAAAGACTCAAGCGCCTTCTATAAAAGAGAATAAGATCATTAGCATCGTTGGGTCAGATGTTACGACTAGTTCGTTGTCGTTCGCCGGCGAAGGGGGTGCCGTACCTTCACGAGCTTTTGCTCGGAAAAGTTGACTCCTAGAATGAAAACCTGTAGAGGGTTAGTCAGTTGCTGCTCTAGCATCTGCCACAAGGTATTGGTCTTACCATTTTATCCGATTTATGACCTAAGTCCTCGAAAAGAGTGTCACTATTGTCGCCGCGGGCTGCTCCGGTTCCTGCAATTGATGATGGGATCGCGAAACTTCGAATCCATCGATGCGCTCACGGAGAGTCGGCGCCGGAAAATAGTGGATCCAAACGCAACGCGGCGGTGGCAGGTGCTGCTGCACGCAGTCCAGTGGCTGCCCGGTTGCATTGATAGCACTGATCCGCCCAGAAGGCAACCCTTTATGCCATGGACGCATCCACTTCCACGGATTGCCTCCCCCCATTGGGCAGTCACGGCGACCAGGGTCCGAGCTCGACTTCCTCATTCGCGTGCTTCAGAGAGGGGAGTTTGAAACGTAGCTCTACGGTTCCGAGGGTCCCTCTATTTAACACACTGTCCCTTCTGGCGATAACCTCTCCTCCCTTCCCAGACGGTCCTCATTTGAATCCACAGAATCTGAATTTCTTTCCCAATTGATCGAGTTCAGTGCCCAGCGTCCATCATGTTCAGCATTCAGAGACTCGTCTCTGCCCTCCTCCTCGCCGGAGTGGCTCTGGCCTTCTTCGCGCAGACCGCTGAGGCTGCTAAGGGTCCCAAGATCACCCACAAGGTCTACTTCGACATCACCCACGGCGATGAGCCTCTCGGCCGCATCACCATGGGTCTGTACGGAAAGACTGTTCCCAAGACCGCCGAGAACTTCCGCGCTCTCGCCACCGGCGAGAAGGGCTTCGGTTACGAGGGCTCTACCTTCCACCGTGTTATCAAGCAGTTCATGATCCAGGGTGGTGACTTCACCAAGGGCGACGGTACCGGTGGCAAGTCCAGTGAGTTGCTCCCCATCAAAAATGCTTCCTCAGTTCTACGTGACGACTGACGATATGCGAACTCCACAGTCTACGGCGAGAAGTTCCCCGATGAGAACTTCAAGCTTAAGCACTCCAAGAAGGGTCTCCTGTCCATGGCCAACGCCGGCAAGGACACCAACGGCTCCCAGTTCTTCATCACCACCGTCATCACCTCGTAAGCATATTCTCGCCGACAATTACAAACACGTCACATCCACGAAGTTGCGCTAACTCCACAACCACAGTTGGCTCGATGGCCGCCACGTCGTCTTCGGCGAGGTCCTCGAGGGCTTCGACGTCGTCGAGAAGATCGAGCAGGCCCAGACCCAGCCCGGCGACCGCCCCGCCAAGACGATCAAGATCGCAAAGAGCGGAGAGCTGGAGGTGCCCCCTGAAGGTATCCACGTGGAACTCTGAGCACGTACTGTGACAACCCGTCGTCCCTCGCTGCCTCTTCGTTTTATCATCAGCCCGACACTTTTTTTTACACCATTCCACCTTGACTCTTCCCGCTGATGACCTCCCGAAATTGATGAAACAACGCACAAAAACGTACTTGGTTTGCTGATGGCTACGCCCCCCCTCGTTGCAGGCGAATACGGCACTAGCGAGTGGGCGTCAGGCTACTCCAACGAGGATACGCCGCTGGAGGTGGGCTCCGGCGAGGGCTGGTCCCTAATCCAGAAAGGTCTCTTCGGTGGTGTTGTTGTTGCTGCGATCGTCGCCTACATCAAGTTCAGCAAGTCCAGGACCGCAAGAGATGTCGGCTACGAGAAGACCATGGCGTAGAGGGGATTTGACGAGAGGAAGCGGGCTTCGACTAGGCACAGGAAATACAAGTCAACAAATGCCAACTAATAAGAAATGGCCAACACATGCATGTGTCAACTAATCAAAATGTGCAATTTGTCGTGATGTTGAAAATGTCGTCTCTACGTCTTGCGTTCTCTTAAAGCGCAGTCCAATAGGTGTAAAGCACGCATCCCAAAGCGCATCACGTGTGGGGTACCAAAAAAATTCCGTACTGGCCAAACTTCAACTCAAACACCCCTCTACAGTGGAATAGCGAACACCCAAATTTACCTGACGCCCGAAACACAAAAGAAGAGAAAAAATAATGAAGCTGCTTAGTCTCAACTTTTTGACCTGCGCGGTTAAGGCCTGCAAGTCCTCCGCGGCCTCGTTCCCCCTCCACCCCAAGGACGCAGAGCTGGCGCAGGACGACATCGAGGTCAACCCCCAACTTCTCTTCAACGTCCTGCCCCGCTTAGACTGGGCCGCTCTGCGAACGAACGCAACTGAGGTAAGGATTTTCGATTATTTCTCGTTCTCCCAACCACTTGCCCTCGCCTTTTGGTCTTCCGGGTGAGAATGTCTTAGTTCTATACATCATCCAGTCTCATAAATGTCTCTTTCGTTTCATGCACGTGCAAGACCAGAGTGCTGACAGTCACACAAAAAGCTGGGCTTCCCCGAACTCCCCACGGAGCCCCCCTCGGCAGAGCAGCTTGAGGGCGACGAGAAGATGCTCAAGGAACTGCACCACCTCCTCATGGAGACGCAGATCATGGAGGGCAAGCTCGTCTGCGGCAACTGCGGACACGAGTACGCCATTCGCGAGGGCATCGCTAACTTTTTGCTGCCGAGTCACTTGGTCTGAAAGGCAGTGCTCCGGTTATTGGGGAATGAGTTTGGAGAGATGATGAAGACTTTTGATTTGAGACGGCCCCCGACGAGGCTGTAGTAGGCGTTCAAGGCGTTTTTCTCCCCTCACAACAAGCACGGAGGCTCTCTGATGTGGGGGGAAGGGGAGGTGGGCGGCAAACAGAGGAAGAAAAAAACGGTCCATTTGTTATAGAAATACATTTCATGCCATTTGCGAAAAAAACACTACATTGGTCTGTCTCTACAGACTATAGGGCCCCTTTCCTGTGCTCTCTACCTATCATGCTCATTGGTTCCTCCCCCTTTACTCGAAACATGCCTGTCAAAAGCCAGCCGATAACTCCCGACGTTCTCAAATGAAATACACTGGTCGTTGAAGGAGGCACCCCTGGAGAGAAAGTGCCTTGAGGCGATTTTGATACAATCTACTGGGCCTTCTTGTGAGCCGCGGGGCCGTTCTCCTTCTCGAAAGCACCGTACGGAATCTCGAGGCTGGCGAGAGCCCTGATACCGACACCGAGAATGCTGAAGAGAACGATAGTGGCGATGATGGCGTGGAAGACACCTGCTGTCGTGTCAGTCTCATTCATAGCATCGCGAATCGATTAGACTCCATCACTTACCTGGGGAGAAGAAGACGTATTTCTCAAAGAGAGGCAGTTTGCTCCACTCGGTCTGGTTCTCTGCCCTTCTGACATGTCGCAGGCTCGCCTCGTGGCGCTTGAGCTCGGCGTGCAGAGGCTCGGTGGTGAACTCGGCCTCGTAGGTGGGCTCCGAGGGGCTAGCGAGGTAGATGACGGTATACGAATCCGACGCCTTGCGCAGCTTCTCGAGGCGCTGGCCCAAGACGTGGTCGTTGTCGGCGAGCGTGGCGGCTCTCGCGTCCCGTCCCAGGGCAGTGAGCCTGGCCTCCTCGACCTCGACGGTCTTGCCCGCGCACGACTTTTTAATGTAGTCAGCCAGCTTTCCGATAGGTACCTCGCCGACGACCTCAGCGACGCTGTAGACGCCACGGGCGTCCTTGTCGGAGATTGCGTGGCACAGGTTGGGGGATTGGCAGTCGCCGCTGTCCGGGTTGCGGATGTCGGCCGCGTTGACGTTGGGCTGGGAGACGAGGAGGTAGCGGTCTGTCGGGCAGGAGGCGAGGAGATCCTGGACGGTCTTGACGATCTGGGACTGGGTCTGAAGCTGGACGGGGTTGGACTTCGCGAACCTAAGGGAAAGAAAGGCATGTTAGCAGTGTTCGATGACGATGATGGAAGGGCTCGGCGGTTCGTGACGTACTCGGCGGTCGACAGCATGATGAAGGGCGACGAGTCGGTGAAGGCCTGCACCGAGGCGCACAAGGCCATGAGGCCTGCTGTTCTTGATAGACGCATGGCTGGTTGATGTGGTTGAAAGCTTGCCCGTTTGGATGCGATGGCTAGCCTTCGTCGTGCTGCCAGGAGTTATGCTGCGGATTAGCTCCAGGGACGACGTAGCTTAGATACATGCGTCTATGCGAGCTCAACGTAATCAGCTACCACAGGCACGCCCGCTTAAATACATTCCTCTAATCGCCATCCAATAAGGCCTCTCCAGGAAAGTTTCATCAAGGTGATTGCCTGCCCCACCCCTACATATCGTTTTACAGGAGCGATGCACTTGCTTTGCAGCCTTAATTCATCGAAACGCCTGCCAGTTGTACGCACCTAAAACTTTTGATGCTGATGGAACTTGGTATCAGCGTTTTAATACAATTCGCATCGATAATGCATTTGATTAACCGCTCGTTCCAATTTCTCATTAACATAGTGTGGCTTACACTCAGGCTCTTCAAGGCTCTTCAAGGCTTTTCAGGAGTTCATGCATGTCAAGAGGGTGTATCTGCACTGAGTAGCTCTCAGTTGTCGAGGGACAATTACGAGAGATGGGTAAAAATAGTTACGAATAGGGCCGTACTCAGACCTTCAATAAACAACCCCCAATTGTGAGAGTTGCTGAGTTGCGGCATAACCATCCGAATATACGTGACTGTATCAAGCAGCAGATTCACGTGAGCGGAGCTTCATGAACCTTGAAATCATCAGAGGACATGTCAGCATGTCAGCATGCACGGCAGTCGAGGAATCATGCAGTGAGGCCCCCTCGGGATGTCACCTGCTGGTTTCGCTGACAGATGCACGCCTAGCGGGCGAGACCTGGAGTCCGTTCCAGCGCATTTAGCTCTTCGGCTTGGCCCGCGTCAGTGGGCCCTTACAGAGGCTGCAGTGGTATGGACCTGCAAGGCTGCCAGAAAAACCCCCCAATGGAGTAGGATCCAAAAATTTCACTGCGCCGCCGCCGCCAGATGGGGAAAAAAAAAACCACCACCACGAGCCAGTCAACAGTCCCCATCATCGACACATTCGACCAAACAGCCACAATGTTCGCCAAACCCCGGCCCAAGAAATCCGTGCTCAGCGCGCCCCCCTCGAAGAAGAGAAAGGCGGTGTCGGCGATCGAGGAAGTCAACTTCGATTTCGACGCGCGGGAGGACTATCTCACGGGTTTCCACAAGCGCAAGCTGCAACGGCAGAAATGGGCACAGGAGCAGGCAGCCTCCAAGGCGCGGGAGGAGAAGATTGAGATGCGCAAACAGGTGAGTGAGGCAACCATAGCCCTCCCGGTCTTCCCTTGCACACGCACGCGCACGTTGCTGCCTGCACTTGCTCGTCGCATGTACTGACATGGTTACTACAGATCAGACAAGAGCGCCAACGGGAAGTCGAAGACCACGTTAATGCCGTGAGCGCTCTGCTCAAGGAGGCCCAGGAGGCAGACTCGGACGGGAACCAGGAGATCAACGGATCAGATTTCGAAGAATGGGACGGCATCGACGAGCCGGCCAAGGATCAGACAGATATTGTGGACTACGAAGACGAGTACATAGACGAGGACCGCTACACATCGGTCAAGGTCGAGGCCATATCAGTGACGCGGGACGGCCTCGAAAAGATCCACCAAGACGGCGACGGGGAAGAGAACGACAGCCAAGACGAATCCAAGGCGGACAAGCCGGCATCTGAACAGCCGGCAAAGTCAAAGAGCCGGAAAGAATGGCCCAAGAAGCAGAAGAAGAAGTTCACCTACGAAACAAAATTAGAAAGGTCACTGGGGGCGAGGAAGGCAAAAGCCAAAAAGGCAAGATTCAAGAAAGAATAGTTGAAGGAGGGTATAATATCTCGCATTGGTTGCTGCAGCTGCTTGCCCAAGGAGTTGCCTCACGCCCAGCGTGGTCCGAGGTGGTTATGTGTAGATTCCCGTCATGTCTGTGTCTGTTGAACAAAGACCAGGGGCATCTGACAGAACAAAACTCTTTGTTGGCCGGGGTTACAAAAAAAGGAGTAAAAATAAGGCTGCTATAACTCGGTCGCGAACCGTCCCGTCATTTGCATTCCACCGCTTGTTGGGATAGCTAAGTCAGATCACCAACACAGTGTCCCAAGCCAAGAGTCTATCATGTAGAAAAGCCTTGCATAAAATGACACGCGCAACAAGGACCTTAGATGTTGCCAATCTCGGCCTGGAAGTCCTCGAGCTCCTTCTGGACCGTCGCGTACTTCTTGGCCATCTCCTCGTACTTGGACTCCCACTGGTCACGCTCCGACTCGAGAGCCTGGACCTTGCGCTCGAAGTGGCCGGCCTTGACGTCGGTCTGTCGGAGCCTATGAAAAGACGGTGTAAGTAATAAGTAATGCATCGGTCGGTCGTTTCGGTGGGGCGGGCTTTAATGAACACGATGGGGGTCGGAGAGTGAAAAGGGGGTATCATCGATTCGGCAAACAGGGTCCAGAACGTACTTCTCGTTGGCTTCCCGAAGGGTCTTGTCCGCCTCCTCGGCCTCCTCCTCGAGGAGCTGGAGTCTGCGCTGGAGAGTCTCGTTTTGTGTGCCGGTGCCAGCGCTCTCGTCGGCAGCCTTCTTGAAGTCCTTAACTGCAGTCTCAAGCTTCTCGACTTCGCTCTCGAGCAGACCGTTCTTGTGCTGCAAGGAGGTGATCTCCTGCTCCTTGGACAGGTTCTCCTGCTCCAGGGACTTGACCTTGGTCTGAAGCTCCTCAACCTTGGCGGCGTTGTCGTCGGCCTCCAGACGAAGCTGGTTCATTTTCTGATTGACACCGTCGTCGTCAGCATCGATGACACGACACATTGGGGATATCTTACCCCTCCAGACCGCCGGTAGCAGTCGGGTGGGGCCAGAGTCAGAATGGCAAACTTACCTCCTTGATACGGTCCATGATGAATAGCTGCGGGTTGCTTTGACGTTGTAGTAGAGTCGGTGCAGGTTGATTGCGATAAGGAGGGTTGCTGAAGTTGAGAACGGGAACGGGATCGGTGGATGTGGGATCGCAGCTGTCGGGGATGGAAATGGGAGGAAAGGGTGTGAGGTGTTGAAATAACTGCCCCTCTACATGCAAGTCCGCTCCATGCGACCTGTGGCGGACCACCCTCAGCATACCAGCCAGCAGCCAGACAGGCCCGGTCTTCACACGCTGAAAGGAAGCTGCAATCGGATTAGCTCAGACGCGGGCAGTGGGGTCAGTCAGGTGGGGTTGGGCTGTGGCACGGTGCTTCACTGCTTTCCCACCTAGGTGAACTTTCTACGGGGGTTTCCGCAGGGTCTGAGCTTCTTTCGTGGTTGTCCCGACAACAACGCCCCAAACATACGGGTCCGTTTACGATCTCTATTGCTTCTTCAACCCATGACAGAGTCCAAAGTGAAGGGATTGATGACGACAATACAGCACTACACAATTACGACACAGAACGACCAAAGAAGACACCGAATCAACAACAAAATCGACACCCCCTCTGGCCCTATGCAAAATGCTGGCCCTTCGTGACGAGAACGCGGTCAACGCAGCTCAAGCTGCTCGCCTTGCTCCCGGAAAAGGGCAGCTGGCTCCCAAGACCCCTGGAGCCCGGTACCCAAAGACGCCCTTAAAGATTCCCCTCAACGACGAGAATGCTGTCGGAGGCGCGAAATCCGTGCTCGCCGCCAAGTCGAATGCCAACGGAAACATTCAACTCACGGCAAAGAAGCAGAACCTCGTCACTCCTTCTGGTAAAACTTCCAATCTCGTCATATGAGGTATCAAAGTTGACTGACATCCTTGACAGAGACACGAGCTCGGGCACCTCTCGGCAACAAGACCACCAATGCAAAGGCTAGAGCCACCCAGAACACCGGAGGGAAGGATGGCGAGAAAACGCAAACGAAGCCCACGACGACCAAGAAGCTGAAGCAGCGGTCTCCCAGTGTCGGCCCTCTCAAGCTTGAGGTCCGCAACGATCAGACTGGTCCAGCCGAGGAGCCTGATGTTGAGTACGCACCTCCTACCGTCAAGGACTTGCCTTACGAGTCGGATGTCCTTTCGAATGGGGATCTCACATTCGAGGGACTCAAACCCGAGAACATGTTCAAGGGATACTACAACCACTTCTACAACCCCCTGGGCGAGGATGGAGTCAGGCTTCAAGACAGGCAGCACCAGGAGAGGCTCCAGAAGGCTCTCAAGGAGAGTGACGAGCGTATTCTCCGAGATATTCAGGAAATGGACTGGTCCGTCTCGGATGTTCCTGAGACTTCCGCCATTTCCCAGCGAAAGGCACCAGCCCCGGCTCCTAACCCGGCCGTCACCAGGAAGGCGGTTGGAGGTGCTCCCAAGTACCCGCCCACGATTACTTCTAGAAGAGCCGCGTCTGCCCTGTCAATGTCCACTGGTAACACCATAAGACAGAAGAAGGCTGCCGAGCAAAAGCCTACGGTCAGAAGACCAATTTCTTCTATCCTTCCGAACACCAGACCCAACAGGCCTGCTGTGGCCCCAAAGTCTTCGGTCGCCGAAAGTGCCATGGGAGAAGCCGTGTCGAGAAACACACTGGGCTACACAAAGGGTCGCTCAGCCTCTTCCTTTGTTAGCGGGCGCCCAACATCCGCTGCTGCTGCTCGGTCGGTCTCGACAGATGCGAAAACGACCCTAGCTCCAAAGATGACTATGAGACGTGACGCATCCCCCCAGAAGCAAAGACAAGAGGCCCGGAACGACAGTGAGGAGCTCGGCAAACTCCAATTCCTATCCATCTTCGATCCCGCTGGGGACGACGAAGATGATGGCATCGGCAGCGCGGGTCCACGAAATGAAGAGTTTGAGGACGATGAATTTGAGATGAAGTTGACATTTTAATCGCTCAACTATGTTAATGGATGGCGTTTGGAGATGATTACCCTCGTTTGTAAAACAGCAGGACGGCCGGGGACTGGGAGGCGTTTTTCGGCTGGCATCGTTGCCCACATATAACGCCCGCGAGGCCAAACGGGCGATCAAAGACTGTGTTCGCGACCAGGGTTTACAATGACTGTATTTATTTACTTTGTTACACTCTGTATAAATTATTACCCAGCAGGAATCATTGGCACCAGGGAGAGTCTTTGTCTCTCATAGCAAACCGTAGCTGCCTGCATCTATTACTTCACTTGATTGATTTGCAGTTTTAAATGTCGACTGGCTGTCCTGTTCTCACGTGCTTGCGGCCTGTCAAAACTTTTAAATTAGCATTGTAGAGTGGTGTAAACAAGGAGTGTATCTCTCTGACACAGTGATTGGAAGATGGAATTATTGGCACGAGGTTAAATAGTTACTCCATTGGCTCGGCCATGATGCAACTGGACAGTTTCTGTGGTGCCCCTGTCCTTCACGTCCTTCCAGAGCAAGACGCGAAAATTGAGCAAAGTGGAAGGTCAGGCGACGCGATTCCCTCCGGTGCCAGCTGTCAGAAGAGGCAGCTTCATCTCCACCCAAATTGTTGATTGTACCCATCGCCCAGAATTTGCAGAGGAATACTTTCTCCCACACCGGTCCTCGTCACGCAGGTCCCGTCTGAGCATCCATGCGTAACGGTGCTCCCTCGCCTTGTTCCGTGGCTGGTCTCCGCTAAATCGCATCCCTGAAAGGTTTGGACACTCTTCAACCTCCAACTTTCTGACCTCACTGCTACATTTTCTCCAGCCTCATATCCGTCAGTCGCATCGCACGACTCATCCAGCCTCATTTGCAAACTTGCTGGTTGATCGCATCGACTCTGAGCCCTTTGCGACTGGGACCTTTCCTTCCTTGAATGACGCAGTCGGGCTCCTGCCCCTTGCCATTCCCTCGTGTCGGTAGCTACACACCGGTCGCGTGAACAGCGACTCCGCGACCTCTCTTCCCGCTACACCGCTGCGGCCGCTGTCTTCGGCGATAACCTCTGTTCTCTAAGATCATCCGATACACAAGAGACGATGGTCGGTGGCAGGCGAGAGCGGTGAAAGCTGAACAATCTCACGATGACCCGCCAATCTTCGGCGAGCTTCGCGCAGTTCTTCCCTGCAGCCCCCCGCGTCGCTAGGGACAGAGCCAACGAACGAGAGAAGGCAAAGGCTAAAATTCAAGACTCGGCAGGTGGCCTGCTTAGCGGCTCCAAGAGCAGCGGCACCCCTTCGGTCAACGGCACAACTGGAGAAAGGTCATCCACGGCTGATGGCCTACCTTCCGACACTTCGCAACAGCCACACGACGGTCATGAGTCGCCCTTAGGAGACACTCTCAACGCTGTTGGATCTGCGAGCTCCTACGCGAGTACGGGCTCATCCGTCTTCAGTACGGCTGCGCGACAAGCTGTCCCCAGCGGCATATCTCATATCCCTCCATCCAGCGGCACGCCGCTCACCTCCATTGAATCACCTTCATACCCAGGCAATGCTGCCTTATCGAAGACGACTATGCCACAAGCACAAAACACCGATCGGGACGAGGCAGCGGTCTCACTCAATACCCCAACATCCCGCCTGAACAGCTCACTCCCGGAGCCATATCCTCAAATTGAGCGCATTCCCGCGCGAGATCCCAATCGATCGCGAAAAGGCATCAAGTGCACATATGACCCCTTCAACGACCGGACCCTATCGAAGCACGGCAGAAAAGATGCCAGGCCGATATATAAGGAGTTTGGATTGGTACGTACAAATACAATAAACCTGCCCAGTGTAGGGGGAGGGGGAGGCGTCATCTTTTGTGTGTGAGAGCTTTGGCTAATAAACTGAGTAGGAAGATGACGCCCCCCCTCCAGACCCTCGTCTCGCCAAAGGCGGGCGATTGGGTTATATAAACACCGATTTTCATCTCCCAAAGTCCCGATTGCGACAGTCGCCATACAACCTGAAACCATACACCTATTGCCCTAAGACATCAATTGGTCCTGGGCCGCCTACACAGATTGTCGTTACTGGCTTCAATCCTCTCATCACCTTTTCAAAGGTAACGGCGGCCTTTGCGTCATTTGGCGACATTGCTGAGAGCAGTAACAAAATGCATCCTGAGACGGGCAGCTACCTAGGTTTTGCAACGTTTCGGTATAAGGATGCGCATCCCAGCAGGTCGAGACCCAATCCGATTGTGGCCACTGAATCAGCGCGCCGAGCTGTTAAAGCCATGCATGGGCAACGAATCGAGGCAAACACAATTCGAGTCGAATACGATCCTGAGGGAAAGAAAAGCCGTCGCATGCTTGAGGAAGTTCTACAGAAAGACAGAGTTACACGGGATGCTTCTATTTTAAAGGCGCCGCCCACCGGCCCTCGAATCGCGCCCGAAAAGATTCCTGGGCCACCACCGATGGCACCAAAGGGCCCTTCTTCCCACAGACAGGCCGTGGCTGGTGTGCCTGCTTGGGTCCCAAGCCAACCCAAGATGCACATTGCGCTCGAAGAGAAGGTCATCGCGAAGCAGCTTGCAGGCGAGCCGTACATTTTCGTTGCGCACGAGCATGTTCCAGTCATGGTTACGACCATACCTCACATGAAGAAACGACTTAAGGCGTTCGCCCTTGAGGACATTCGCATCGACCGAACGGGATACTACATTCTGTTTCCCAACTCATTTCACGGACGCAACGAGGCTTCGAAGTGCTACAGAGCAGCCAATCATACCGACTTGTTCACGTACAACATGGTGATGCAACTATCGCTCCCGCCTTCGACGGGCCAAGATTCGGAATCCGCAGCTCCGCCACCACGACGGCGAACCCCTAGCCCCGAGCGCAAACGTCGAACGGATATGCGAGTGCGCGAGGATAAGGACCGTCGTCGTCGCGAAGAGGAAGCAGATCTTGAGGAAGAAAAGCGACAGAGAGCTAAGAACTTTGATCCGGTCCTCGAGGCTTGCGAAGTGGTCACCCGAGAGCTAGCAGAACATTTGATCAAGCATATACGCACAAGAGTTGCTGCTCCTGCACTGACGACCTTCCTGGATCCAGCAAACCACGCAAGCAAGCGACGAAAGCTCAACTTGGAGGACCCGGCTGGATCTGTTCCGTCTGTCACCGTCGATGCTGGCGATGAGAGCCCTGGAGTTAGCACGCCCAACTCTGGCGCAGATCCGATTGAGCGTCGCACAGGTCGCTTGGAAATCGCAGCTCTGCCACGAATCCGTAAGGCCAAGGCTACTGCCCAAGGAGCCTCACGCAATCATGGATTCACAGACCCGTTCTCTCGCAAGCGTGCAGCACAACAGAGTCGTGGTGCCTTCCGATCCTTGCACCATCGTCTCAAGAGCTACGACAGCGATGCAGAATCCGATGATGAGGCCGCCATCAGGGAGTCCCTGGCGCGAGATACTGAAGAGCCTGACTCTCGACCCCGTAGCCGTATGAGCACAGACGACGACGTCAAGGACGACTTTGCCTCCTGGGGTCCCGGCGAGGAGGACTCTATGACTGAGGCGAGCTTCGCTATTGGCGATGGTCTAGCCCTAACGAAGAAGAGGAAGCTCGACCTAGAGATCCAGTCGGCGATCAAGCGCCAGAAGAAGTCCGATGAAGAACTATTCGGAGTCAACTTGGAGGGTGTTGAGCCTGACTTACTGGCTTCCTCAGAGGCCACCCCTGACGTTGACCTACTCGAGACACAGAGCAATCGCTCGGAGACTCCTGCACTATCAGCTGCCAAGGGGCTGGCAAAGAAGCAGAAGTCGAAGAAGAAGTCAAAGAAGCAAATGTTCGAGGAAAGGGAGGCCTTGAAGAAGCAGCAAGTCCAAACTCCCACAGAGACTGAAGAGGAGACACCAGCCCCCGTTAAACCCCTGCCGGAAGAGGTCGAGACCGAGGTATTACCAGTGGAGAAGAAAGAGGAAGAGCCAGAGCCGCAGAAGGCCAAGGCAGATCCCTCCTTATTTACTACCACGCCAGCTCCAGCCCTTGGTCTGTCGGGCGATTTCAGACTCGATATCTCTGCATTGCAAGAGTTATCGTTGTCTGCAGCTGACAGCCCAGATATCTCGAAACTCAGGAAGAGGTTTACTGGGACAGAATTCGGTGACCCGCTTCTGTGGTTATGGCGGCGTAATCGTGTTCGAGAGCTCAACTCAGTAAATGGATCGGTTGACCAGGCTGTGGGCATCGACGGCTATTATGTGCCCAACTCTACCGGCGCTGCACGGACCGAGGGTGTCAAGAAGATCCTCAACGCCGAAAAGTCTAAGTATCTGCCTCACCACATCAAGGTGCAAAAGGCTAGAGAAGCACGTCAAGCGCGATACAACAAGGACGGCAAAGACGCAGCCATTGAAGCCAGCAGACTTGCCGTGGCAGAAAAGGCCGTTGCGAAGGGCAATTCGAGAGCAAATCGTGCCAATAACCGTCGGCATGTCTCTGCACTCCAAGATGAAAAGAAGATTTCGGGCGACTCTGACGCGTTCAAGTTCAACCAGCTTAAAAAGCGGAAGAAGCCTGTTAAGTTTGCTCGATCTGCTATTCATAATTGGGGTCTATACACGGAGGAGAATATTAACAAGGATGACATGATCATTGAGTACGTCGGCGAGCAGGTCAGACAATCAATTTCGGAGATCCGAGAGAAACGTTATCTCAAGAGCGGCATGGGCAGCAGTTATCTATTCCGCATCGACGATAACACGGTCATCGACGCAACCAAAAAGGGTGGCATTGCTCGCTTCATCAACCACAGTTGCATGCCCAACTGCACTGCCAAGATCATCAAGGTCGACGGAACCAAGCGCATCGTCATCTATGCGCTCCGCGACATTGCTCAACGTATGGTCCCCAAGGTCGACCCCCTTTTTGTGTTTTCACGTAAATCTAACATTTGCGCAGATGAGGAGTTGACATACGACTACAAGTTTGAGCGCGAGATTGGCAGCTTGGACCGTATCCCCTGCCTTTGCGGTACGGCGGCGTGCAAGGGATTCCTCAACTAATCTCTATCGGTCTTTCTGGTGTTATCGGTGGTTGGGCTGCACCATTAGGTTGCATATGCCCTTTGTATTTCTCAGGCCAAGTTGCCTGCTGGAGTTGGGACCTGAACTCATTTCCTTGGTGGAGGCGGGCATCCTGCCGCCTCTGATTTTCATCACCTCAACGCATACCCATTTGGATCTGTCTCCTGCGATTATACTATATGCATAACAACCAAGGCGAGAGGAATGAAGACGAGACTTTTGAAGGAGGAGGGCGGGAACGGGAAGAAAAAAAATTAGTGTATCATGATTCACTTCGAATAGCTGGCGTTCATGCTGGGAGGAAAGGGGGGCTTCTTCATCAACTCACTTGGGCCTGGTGAAGCTCAGAGCTTTACATGGGCCCCCGAACCTGGTGGAAGAAGAAAACAAACGATGGGAAAACAAATGCCTCTCGACAGTGAGCGAGGCAGAGAGCCACGCCACCCTTTCTAGGTAATCTGGGCGTATATCCGCACACAAACACAAACACAAATGTACATATGGCGGAAGGGGGATATGCTAGTATTGAGAAGACACTCAATCAAGGCGAAAGTACTGCTTATTTCTGATGCTCGGGCGATGCTTGTTTATGTCCTATGTTCTCTCGCCCTGTGAAGTTGCCGGTGCTGTCTTGAGACTGACGTTCCTCACAAACGCGATGAGGGGGTATAACGGACCGCTGAATTCCATGTCGTACCTGGTGTGGTGGTCAGCAAGCCGGGGGATATAACCTGTGATGTGTAGATATCTGTAGGCTTACCAGTAATTGACGGCCAGGACGAAGCCTTCTCCGTCTTCTGGACAGGACTGGGAAACCTTGTGGTACCACATGGCGGGGAGGTAGAGCATGTCGCCCGGCTCCAGCGTGACGCGGACGGGCTCGGCGAGGTGAGAGTAGGGCGTTGCGTTGACCTGCGGCTGATCCGGATCCCACGTCGCAAAGGGGATGGTGTTTGATGTTGCCTTTTCGTCTCCTCCTTCTGCTTTACTGTCTTTGGCGTCCCGGTCCGTATTCAACACCAGGTCGCCATCTTTTCCTCCCCGACGAGAATACGTCGCGGGCGCGAGGGCCGTCTCGTTGACGCAAGGGTGGCAACAGGGTGGAAGGAGGGCAAAGTGTTTGCGGCCGCGGACCTGGACATAGATGTTTTCGTAGTTGTCCTTATGGAGGGCGGTGACGGAGCGGGAGGCGCCGATCCAGAGGTTGATGGCGTCCGGGTCGCGGTCGAGGGCGATGCGGGCGAAGGGGATGGAGGGGGGTACGTGGGCGAAGAGGGGAAGGTATTCGTTGCGGAGATTGTCGTTTTCTGGGAATTGACGTTAGATTCGAATTGGGGGTATATAAGAGTGAACGAGAGTAAATGAAACGTATATGTGGCTGGAGTATGAAGTTTGTTTTTACTATGAACATGTTTATATAAGGGAAAGGGGAGGGCAAGTGAGTTGAGAATGAGTGTGGCGAGACAGGTGAAAGCATGGAATGACATACGTGTTTGAGCATATCTGACTTCTGAGGCCGCATCTTTACTCTTTTCTTGGTTGGTTACATAGTTGAGAAACTCTTCGAAGTCCTGATCCTCCTCATGTGGCTTCGCAAAAACGACATTTCCTCCATGGTCGGTTGGAGCGTCGGCATTACTGCGTATGTGAGAGACCGTGTAAGTCGAGGATCGTGAAAAATCTCGTCCCCCTCCAAAGTGAGGAGAGGCACAGAATGGTTTATTCAAACTCACCCGAAAGGCGTCACGGCAACATTCACAGTCTGATCTCTAAACATACGCAGCAGATACTCCTTGTCCCACGTCTTATTCGACTGCCACGAGGAGGCGGCCCCGCGGACGACGAAGGGTGTATTGCGGGCGACGTAGCGCATGAACTCGAGGGGGCTCGGTTCCTCGTCGAGTTCCTCGATCAGGGCGCCGTTGAGCTCGTTGTAGGTTGTAATGAGCTCGGCCAGGGGATCGTCCTCTGGGACCGCCTGGTCTTGCGAGCTCATGATGTCTCCGGACTAGCTAGGACTGTGAAAATACCGTCGTTCACTTGAGTGGCTGTTGATGAGGCACTGGGGGTAGGGACGAAAGTGAGGTATGTGGATGCATGACTAAGGTTGCAGCTGGAGCATTTGCGAGAATTGCTGCGATGGGTCACTTGAGTGCGAGGTTCCCATAGGGTAATTACCTGCCATTGGGTGTCAACGTTGGATTTGGTCTATTTTGTTTTCGACTGTAAATTGAAGCTTCCAACTAACTTCTAGAATATTGAATGTCTCATTCATTCATAAATTGGTTCCATGCGGTGTAGATAGTTCGCAGTGTGTAAAAGTCCCATGTCAAACTCAAATTTCGCATCCGCGTACCAGCACCGCACCGCACCGCCCGGTGTAGAATTGCCAGGCCCCGATATCATATTCACATTCACAGCCGGCGCGGCAAGCGTACCCCAGATTTCGGGCCTACGAGACACGCAAATAAGAAAGAATGCGATGCTTCCTCCACGGGACCACGCGAGCGCAAGGGTCACCTACCATTGGCATTGGGTTTTGTGAAGATACCTGGGGCTTGTCTGCCGAATGCTGCCCGGGCACGGGAATCAAGGGGGATTAAACGCGGGCAGGGCGGGAAGGGGTCCTGCGGTGGGACTTTGGGACTTGGGGGAGCACGAGGCACGAGGCACGCCGCACGCCGCACGAGGGTCCCGTTCCTTGGAGCCCTGGAGGGGGAGGGATTCGGCAAAGGTGGTGCCAACCGCACAGGGCAAAAGGCAGCGGAGCCAATGAGAAAGACGGCGCGAGTGGGAAGTCAGGCCACTTGAGCGTCCTCATGGCCTGATTATGATGAGTCCCGGTGATTCAGAGAGCTTACCACGGCCCATGGCCCACGCAAGGTGTGATTAACCCGTGTGTTTGCTTTTGGCATTTGCTGCTTGTCTTCCATTTTTTGGGCTGGCGACTGGTAGTCTGGTGCTGCGAGATTGCCCATCTGATTAATTATAGCTTAGGCAGATCTGATTCCGGGTTGGCGGGTGCAAATGCTGGCCAGGGCATTTTGTGGTATATAGAACGGCGTGTTCCCTTCCCTTCCATCTTCTTGGGAAGGTTCTCCGACATTGTCTTACACCAAAAAGACATCGTGAGGCTATACACACCCACAGCTTCCCTGCTAACAACGTCAACACCAACACCAACAACACAATGCCATAGCGACGGCCATAATATCAGCAGCCACCGATTTCGCTATCAAAGATGATGGGCATCAACGGAAGGGCCTTGTCAGCCGATCAGCCTTTGGGCACAAAAGCTTCGTCATCATGGTCTTGGATCATCTAGCTCCATCGCACGTCGGCCCCCCAGCTCCAATGAGGCATCCATCATGGCCGATCAGGAACCCGAAAGCAGCTCCCCCTGACGCGAAAAGCCACCCGGACCACTGACGAACGTCGAGCTCGATCGCCACGCGACTTTTGCTATACACGACACATGCCAGACTGTTCTCGCCAGGAAGCATCCGCGTTCCAGAAGAGCGGGCGATGACAGCGCCTAGCTGTCGCAGCGCCAATCGAGGTCACGGACCTACACCGCTCAAGACCGATTTCTTTCACGCAAAGATGGGCAAATTTCCCTCCCCAGTGTCACGGTCCGTCCACGGGCGGGATGATGGGAAACTTCGACGAGCATTGCCCGCTAAAACATGGGCTTCGACCCTTTCGCTTCGCCGGTTCCAGCACAGCCATGTTTCCAGGGTTCTCCAAGCTTGACCCTTTTGGGGGGGATGTTGCCGAGGACCGCCTAGGAACTGGACGCTTGCAAACCGGTCTCGAGCCAAGTTGAACAGGATGATGGTCGCTGCGAGCTACCCCAACCGAGCGTACCACCGCGATACGAGCTGGGAAAACAGCGCAGCTTGACTTACACGGACACACATCCAACAATCTTGCAGAAACCACGGACGCCTGGTCCCTTCCAAATGAGCATCATTGAGTTTTTCCTCTTGTGCAACTTGGCTGCGGCGCTGCCTGATCTTTAAGCGAAGATGAGACAGCAAATGTCCTCGACGACGTGAAGGAGGGTGCCACGACTCATGAAGGGCGAATCAGCAAAGAAGCGCACGCCAATGCTCCTGCGGCCAGTTGCTCCAATCCGTTCGTTCCATCGATGTCCATGGTGCCTGCCCTGGCTGGCCGGATGGGAAACTGAGAAAAAGCCACCATGTCGGCACCATTATCCGACTGTGGAAAGATGTACGGTTCTACTGAACGCCAAGACGAGCCGCCTTGCCGAACCCTTCAAGAAGTCTCCGGTCGGCCCAGAAGCTCCAATCTAAGCGGCCCAGTCGGGACCCGAAGAATGAGGAAAAGGAAAAGCCGGGGGGAGAAGAGCGGAAATGTGACACTCTTCTTCAGTTCTGGAATGTCGCAGAAAGCTTATCAAAGGTCTGATGTTTGAGACTTTACACATCACTGGCACAGGTTGGCTGCGGGCGGCTAGCCAGAAGCAGCAATACGCAAGACGTTGTCCCTCACCTCTCACCCAAAGGTAAGGTAGGCGAGAGGGCCAGCCAACCATCCGGAGTGCTTCCCTCGGAGACCCAGAGCGCAGACCTGTGGAAGCCAAAAGGTGCAAGCCAGGTGCTTGTGCTTGTGCTTGTGCTTTTGCTTGTTTCCCTGTCTCTGCTTGAGGTGTCTAAAGCTTTGCTTTCATCTCAGGATCCCCCAAGTTTCCCGGCTGCTGTTTAACTTTCTCCGACCCAAAATAGGCCCCAAACTGCCCCTCAACTTTATTTTCCAACTTCTCCATTGTCTGATACTCCATACTTGTGGAAGCTTTCCATGTTTTCTGGTCCAGATCGTTCTTCCTCTGGCTGCGTCTGTTTCCCCTCCCCTATGCGGTGGCACTGCCATGGGTGCCGACACAGCGACGCACACCTCGACACGATACCTAGCTGGTCCGGGTTTTCCTCGAGAAACCTAACCGTTTGACGTGGTGCTTCTTCTTTGACGCAGACATGGCATTGGTTGGTCGAGCTACGGATACCGTCGTAGCTCATCACTAGTGGCCCTCACCCTCCTGCTTCTGTTGCAATGGAAGAAGTTCTTCCCTGTTCTTGGACTGTCTCACCATTCAAAGACGTGCAGACGTCAGCGCCCGGTACCCAGTTGGAAGGGGTGTCAGGTTTTAGTGGGACGATCCCCCTATCAGACACCCCAGAGCTGGAGCAGGGGACGGTCTCCAGCTTGGCAGTGACGCCAAAACGCCCCTGGCTTGGCCCCCCTTGCGCTGGAACGCAGTCATTGCAGCATGAGGTCCATGGCTTTTCTCTCCTCTCTCATACCTACTGCGGTAGGTATTGCCTTTACGGAGTGCTGCTTGCAAGCTGCAAGTACCTACCAAGTCGTTAGAGTCTCCTCCAGGTCTCAGAGACACTCCGAGTACCCAAACATCAGGGCGACCAGAGTCATCGATTGTCGGTCGCTCCATCTTTCCCCCCTCCCCCAGACTCAAGTGCGTCTACGGTTACTTCACTCTTCGACCCTGCAGGTCGCATTCTGAATCTCAGGTCGAGGACAGTCTCCTCTACGCGTTACAGGGGTCGAAGAGCCCAAGTCACCTCACATTGTAGGGAAAGTCGTCTCATGTTCCTCGACAGATGCTGCCACCAAGCCACCACCATCGGCAGGTTCCACGGTTCCACCTCCCCCCCGAAAGATACCTGCCCAATACTCCATACCGCCGTCTGCCGGTCTAGGTACCTGATCCTTAGTCCTAAGGTGGCCACTAGGTATTTGTGCCAAGCATCCAAGGTGCGAGGTGAGGGGAGCGCATACTCAGTACTCCGTACCTACCTTACTTTGTAAACGCTAGAGGGCCACTCTCAGATTCTAGCGCGGTACGGCACGGTACGGAAACACACGACTACCTTAGCCCAAGGAACCTTAGCTGTGCCTCACACTCCCAGCACCAAACGTCAACCGCGCACATTGCACCTCACACCTCACACCTCACACCTCACATTACATTGGATCGCACCTTTCCCAGTCCATCTGGTCGTGTCGCTAGTCCTGTCTCTGTTCACGTCTCTCCACCTCAGCTTACCACCCACTTACCACCACCACCCGATCGATCATATCGCCGTACCTTAAACTGCCACAACCTGCGAGGGTACTTGATCCTTTCCGAACGACAGCACTTCCTCTCTCTCTCTATCTCTCTCTTCTCTGCGCTGGGGGTCGCTCAGAAAGGTTCTGATTTGTCTTGGCCGCATATTATTTCTCCGCATCCCTCTCGTTTCGACCAAGATTGCATGCACCACACCACCCAGCACCGCATCGCGCCGCACTGCAATCCCATCGAGCCACTCATCCACTCACACCGAACCAGCGACGACAGTCGGCCCTCCGGTGAACATCGACCAGTCTCCTCCCAACCTACCTGATCCGCCCCTCCACACCTGCGACTAACACAATCTTTCACAACGTCTTCCAAGCCTTCGCCCAGCACCAGCGCGACACTAACAATTAGTCTTGTTCTGGCGTTTTTGGGCCCCGTCGCAGCTGCCAGCCGCTGTCGTTCCATTATTACACACTTCGACCGACACCCGATCGACCGACCAAACGTGGAACCGGACTGACCACGTCCCATCCCCGTCACGCTTCTACGCAACCTCTACATCAGTCGCCCACATCCCTCCACCAAAGGACCCTATTCATCGCAGAAGCTTCCTCCGTACCTCTTCCCCACGTCGAAAATACTCCTTGAATCAACGGTCCCACGGTCGGCGCTCCGCATGTTCGATTTCTTGTACCGCCACACCTGAACGCTCAGTGTCAACTTGAATCATGAGGACGACGACTTTCACTTGCATACCGACAATAACAACAACTCTGCTATCCCGTGCCGTTTAACACTGGATGGATCACAAGCTCAACTAAGCAGCGTCCGCTTCTGCAACTCTGCAATTCCAACTCCCAACTCTTCTGCTGCAGTCGCTGCAAGTCTACTTGCAACCATCGCCGCAGATGATTTGGTATCTTTTGTACCCTTTGCGAGGGTATGGATCTCTTCTTTCCTCCGATCGAGGCTGGTGCCACCCATCATGGATCAGCCCCATTGTAATGCATGTCCTGACTGACCTGCCTTCAGAACGACGGAAGCCCCAGCCCTTGCCACGAACCATCCTCTCCGCCGAGCCTTCGCGCGATACGGTCGATATGCCGCGAGACACGTAGTCACGACTCTCATCATCTCCGTCACTGTCGCCGCGATCCTCATATACCCCTTTCCGTTCCTCTACACCTCAGATCTGAGCAATGGCGCCTCCAACTTGCCCCATCACGTGTGGACTGCTGCGCAGCCGCTCAAGGAAAACAGCACCGAGTCCGACGTAATAATGCGCTCCATTTGGGTTCACGGCAGCTACATGAAAGCATTGGATCACGACGTGTTGCTGGGCGCGCTCGAATTGCAGGATGAGCTCTTGGGTCCCACCAAAGATTTCAGCCCGCGGCGGCCCGTAACATCCCTCCGGGCCCACGATCCATATGCAGATGCAGATCTTGCCCCTCGAGACCGGGATGCATTCCATGTCGTCAACGGTCTCACCAACCAGTCTTGGTTCTTCTCCTCGCCACTCCAGTACTGGGCCTGCTCCAATGAGCGGATAGCTTCTGACCCGGACATCATATCGACCGTAAATGCGCGCAAGACGCAACCGACCTCAGTAAATGTCACTCTAAGACATTCGATAGTGTTCAGCGGCAAGCACTTCGAAGATCGAAGACTTCTGGCCGCCGACGCTCTTGTCATCACGTTGATCCACTTGCGCGATTCCCCAGTTGGTCGCCAGTGGGAGAGAAAGGCCGAATTGCTCGCAAATCGGATGAAAGACAAGTGGACAGCTTACCCAGCTGACGGGAAAAGCATGGACAGCCAGCTCTACGAGTTTCAATTCATGCCCATTTCCGTGCAAGACACGGTCATTCTGGCGCTGGCATATGGCCTAGTCGCGATTTACTTTCTCTACAGCCTTTCCAAGTTGAGGGCGGTCAAATCCAAGTTTGGCCTGATAGTTACGGTCTTTGTCCAGATTGTCGTCTCTATCATGTCAAGCTTTACTGTCTGCGCCGTTTTTCGGGTAGACTTGTCCAGAATTCCGCAAGCGGCATATCCGGTCGTGGTTCTCTCCATGAGCCTCGAAAACATTTTCAGACTTATCAACGCCGTTATCTTGACTCCCTCGGAGAACAGCACGAGTAGTCGAATTAGCCGTGCGTTCGGGGAAACGGCACATGTTGCGCTGGCCAGCTCGGCACAAAACGTACTCATCTTATGGGGACTATCGAAAGTGGTCTCACCGGGCGTGTCCGCCTTTTGCACATTTGTGGCCGTTGCTATTGTGTTTGACTTTTTTTACTTATCGACCTTCTTCCTTGCTGTTCTCAGTGTGGATGTGCGACGAACAGAGCTCAGTGACGCGCTTGCCAAGGCATCTCTGAAAAATAACAGGTACGGGCAGGATCAGCTGCCAGCAAACAGGAGCTGCTTCGAGGCAATGCTTCAGGGCAAGATTGCTTTGTCTACGCGCATCGCAGGCACTGTCATCATGATCACGTTTGTTTTGATTGCTCAGTGGCACTTTTTCGAGAATGACACCTTTGTCCGCCTGGCGCGTGGGATCTTCAGGATCTCCAGAGACACGGTCAGCTTCAGCCAACCGAAGAACTCAATGCTACTCGACATTCACCAGGCGCGCAGCCCAACATCTTGGCTTCGGCTCCAAGACCACGAAAGCGCTCGCGAGGTTATCAACGTCATCAAGCCCAGATCCCACAGTTACATCGCCCGGGTATATGACCCTCTAGTATTCGTCCTCAAGGGAGCGGATCGCACACCGGTCACACCCGAGCGCCCACTACTCCCGGCTCTCTACGACTTCATCGATCACCATCTGAAGCACTTCCTCGTCACCGTGCTTTTCATTCTGTCCGCTGTCCGTCTTCTCATGAACTACCTACTATGGGGAGATGACGCTGAGTCGAGGCGCAACGATGACATGGGAGATAAACCACTTTTGGCTATTGAATCTTTACCAGAGGCTCATTCTCTGGATGTTTTGCGCATGACTTCGTCATACGACGGACATATCATTTCTGTCGGCCTGGACCGCTCAATTCGTGTTTGGGATGTCAGGTCGGGCGTGAGAGACTACTCGCTTGCCGACATCGAAGCACCCCCCGAGGACCCCTTTCCGGTATTGGCAGTCGCTACAGACAAGAAGTCTAGCTGGTTGGCCTTATTATCCTCCCACAAGGTCTTCCTATGGAACTTGGTTGAGCACCGATGGAGTCAGCCAATTCCGGTTGACTTGAAGAACCCGAGGTCTGACAAGCCTCCTTATTTCTTCTTCGGCACGCCGACTTTTGATTTCTCAAGCCCACTCGTCATCGTGCGACGAAACGGAACAATGATACAGATCGTCCCTGGTCAAAATGAGCCTATGGAGTTTTCCATCTGCAAAAGCCCTTTGGTCTCAGTTCGTCCACTTGTCCAGAAGATCGCACCCAGCGGCACCGCGCAGCTGTCTATTCTAACGGCATCGAGAAAAGGCTGCATACATGTTGCGACACAGCAGCGAGACGATACTTGGATCTCACAAAGCCTCGATGTGCATACAGCCGATGACCGCGGAGCATCCCAGGTAGTGTCGCTGTCGGCACTCGGTTCGTTCCTTGTGGCGAGGTCTCACACAGTTGACCTGGTTGATGCAAAGACGAAGGCGCTGCTTCACACTTTTGAGACGGATTCAATTCAACCGCGGTCCCTAAGATGCTTTCACTCGTCACGAAGAAAACCTCAATGCGGTTCGATTGGGCTTGTGTCATTCGGTATCGCGTACACCCATGCGGAGAAAGGCGACTGCGTGATCCACACCTTTACACCAAAAGAAGAAGGCAACGTTATATGCTTCCGCAATACGAGTTCACCGCCTAGCCGCAGCTGTAGTGCGTGGGCTGAGACCATTGAGTCCAAGAGGGAGATTAGTAATCCGGGGACATGGGAAGCTCTGCCAAACGGGTTCCTCGTGGGCGTTCGGAGGGAAGTGTACGATAGCGGATCGAGTAGCGGCGAGTCGTCTCCGACAACAACCGGTGGTCTCCGTCACAGGATGTATCAACGGTCAGAGAAGCGACCAAACAGATCGCAGGACAACTGGGAGGTCTGGGTAGCCTCAGAACTGGGGCGAGAGCAGATTTACGAAACAAGGCCCCTTCACGATGAGTACGAGATGGGCTCGCATCTCATCATTCCGAACCTGGGTCCCATCGTCAAGGTCGGCACGGCATCGGTGGCGGTTGCTTTCGGCAACATTATCAAACTTATCACGGTTGGACACCAGCACTTTGAGGATCTGGCCGAGAACGAGACCGGGGAGTCTCTGCACATTGGTAGCCGACGACGGAAACCGACAGCTGTTACGCATGCCCGGATGAAGGTCCCGTCGTGGATTTGAACTATAAGCGGGAGTCAACATTGGAGGGGAGGTTTTTGGATTGGAAGGCAATATTTTTCATCTTCTTTTTATATACCCATGATCGACAAAAGGGAGTTGGGATTTTCCTATTTACTATTACTTTGACATAGTTTCGAGATCATACCCCCCATTATGGGAATGGAGGGCCAGGATTATAAGATTCCCCATTTCAGTGTATGCCTATGACTTTTTCCTGTTCCGGCTCCGGTCCGTCAGGCTTCTGGTGAAAAAATTACGGTATGAAACCAATCAGTTGTGATACCTCGGTCCAATATCACTCAAAGTTGAAAGAGGGGTAGTGTTTCTCTCGAGTCGAATACTTGGTAGTCTCGAATACTGAGGCGTTGCGTGATATGCCCACGCAGGGTAGGCCAATTCTTGAAGAATAGTCCGCCACTAAATCACCGCTTCCATTGCCTCAAACAGACTCTTCTTTCTTTTATCTTCCCATTATCTCATTCAAGTCGCCTTGCATGTGCAGGTTCCGTGGTTCAGTGCTAACAACCAGAAAAGCTACTGCACTTCCTGGCCGTCCGTGATGAGCCACCGAGTGTCCTTCCCCTACCACATACGACCATACCCATTGGAAAACTCGGGATCCCGTCCGCTCTCCCATAGATAAGCCAATGAGGGCCGGATTAGTAGTTGGGTCGGTGACGACCAGCGAATACCTGGTGTTGTATGTTTTTTGTTGGATTTTTTTGGATGGTGGTGGTGGATATTCGTGATGTTTTGTCCCTTTGGGCTGTGTTGTTGTTGTGGAGTTGGAGCGGGTGTGGGGTTGGTGGGGGTGTCGGTGTGGGGTTTGACATCGATTGATGTTGGTTTGGGGTAAGGGGAGCCGGTGGTTAGGTTGTTATAGGAGGATATGTCAAGTTCTTTTCTTGGGCTTTTCCTTTGTGAGGGGATTGTCTCGTTTGACGTGGATTGTGTAAGTTGGATGGGGATGATCACGTTTACACTTATACGCAGCTAATATCTAGGTAGTCTGGGCCTGCGACGTGAAAGTGAAGCCGCTTTAGTGTGCATCATGTTTCTCTAGTCATGTCTCTGCGGCTGTGGGACTGCCATATTTGAATGGTCGAGTGTATCCTCTGTCAAAGAGTGATGGTAACAGAAAGGGGCAGGCGAGAAACCAGCAGCAGGAAAGTATAGCGGCGTGGTCTGTCTGACTCCTATCTGGCCCATGTAATGGCTCTCTTGGCCTCGATATACCACTTGTGGATTGCAGTGAATGCTCGAGTTAAAGGTACAAGGAAATGGCGGCATTAGACGTCATGTCTGACGGCACAAATATACGTTTCTTTGACCCGTGTCCTTGAGAGGCGTCAGGAGACAAGAGATGGCAAGTTTTCTAACTTGGACGAAATTCGTGTCTCGCAGGATTCTTCCGTTCCATTGAGCTATCTAATTTATTTGGTTGCGTAGAGCGGCAGTGTAGAGAGTTCTCGTATATTACTATTTGCCTAAAGATCTCCCGCATCTCGGGGATGTTCGGCTCGGAATACCATATCCATCATGGAAGGATCCCAGTAGAGTTGGGATATTGTGGAATCTAGACTGTTGTGTATCTCAAATCGTATCGAGCTGCGACATTAGCAAAGGGTATTTCACTCCTGGGCCAGGCCATGGTCCTTTGCGCCTAATTCGATGAGGGCATAACTCAACGAAGCAGTCGCTCGCTCATCTCGATGGTGGTGAGTCACCTTCTATGCCAGGTCGTGAGCCTCCTTTTATACCGCATCTATATCTTTTAGCTAAGGTCTCCGTCACTATACGTGCAAGACCGAGACCAGCTAGTCGTAGAAGCATTCATAGGGGTCTACAAAACACTCAAAAAAAGAAAACCATATGACCAACATTGACCGAAATGGCAAAAGAGTTCACCCCCCCACCCCCGGTGCTGAACTGGGGGCTACATCTCTGGCGCTCATGCTGGGACTCGAACTCGGGTGCTCTCGCTAAGCATGTCGTCGAGTAAGCCGGTTGGCGTATAAATTGATTGTTGACCATAAACCACTCCACTACCCAACCAGTTTGACCTGACCCCCGACCTAGAGAGCGCCTGCTGGCTGGTGACGGGAATGGAAGTGAAGGGACCTACATGGCCTTGTTCGTGGTCAGGTGTGGACGGGAAGGTAAGGAGGGGGGCGACTTTGCTCCTTCCCGGTCGGACTCAACGTACCTGAAGCTGGTAGACTCTGTGATGCCAACCTTGGGCAAGGTGCCATGGGGGAGGTACGCATAGAGGTGTAATGGTCGAGGTCAGAAAACTAGGTGAAGGCAACCAATACACCGGCTCTGCTCATTTACTACTCTAGTGAGCACGCGGAGAACATGATCGCACGGGGTACGGTTGCACACACGGCACGCCTCGTCAGATGATTGACTATATAAGACTGCTGCTTTTTGAACCGTGCTAATTTGCAGAACAACAATGTCTTAGATTCCACTTACCTCTAGACTAGCTATCTAAATCAAAGCTGCACAATGTGTATTAAGCTGAAAGGAACGTCGAACCTTCACCCGCACAGCCGCTGGCACCAATTAGCACACCTCCCTTCGTCATCTGATTATTGCAGCGCGCTGTTGATCAGATATCGAAGATCCATGCTGAAGCATGAGACCTCCATGGACGTCGTGACATCCGATTTAACGGCGTATTGCCGTCTCTGAATATATTATAGAGACGGCTACCTTACAGAGGAGATATCAAAGAGTTTCCTTTTCTTACACGAGGTAAAGGCGAGTGTTGGGTCTAAGCTAGTAAATGAGAAGTGCTCGGATAAGGAAGGGTTCATGGTATTAGGAAAAGCTTGCAGTATTTTAATTTTTCATATTGCCCATCGTCTCTTCTTCACCACCCCTCAGCATAGCTATGGAAGCATTTAATCCCGAATACTCCAGTGACGAAACAGAAGAGTCTGACGCCTTCATGATATCAATATTCTATACTGACATATACTTATGTCACAACATATAATATTTAAACCGTGAGTAGCGACATGGCATATTGGCATATCGTCCTTCAAAGCAGTTAGAGCAAAACTGATGCTTGATCTCAATGAATTTTTTTGCACAAGATCGGTAGAGCAAATATAAAGAGGCTAAAGTCAACTCGGCTGACATCCTTGCATGAACGAAAGACCGCCACTAATGATACTGAACTGTCATGGGTTTTAGTATGGCTGGACGGGGTTAAGACTTGCAATAACTACATAGCCATCGCCATGACCCGTCAACAATTGATCTACTCGCAGAACTGCGTATAGGTGCAGGATCAGAAGAAGCGATAGGCACAAAGAATCACGACAATCAATTCGAGTCACTAGAATATTCGAAACATAGTGTAAACCTTACATTTACGGCTTGCGATTTGGAATTTATCAAGCGGCGTTTTTCAGGAGGGTCCCGCACCCTCGCCTCTCTATATGTTGTCTTCGTCTACGTCGTTTGGTCCCGTTCATCCCCTTAGAGATACCTATTCTGACCTCTAAACGTTTTCACCTTTCATAACCCATAGCTGACGCCGGACACAATGACTCCTGATCACAAAAAACAAAGACCAGCCTTGAAGCAGCTCCCTCTTCCTCTAAATATTCCACAAAACGATAGCCATGGTTGTTGGGAGACCAGCCGAACGACAACCTTCAACCCGTCCCCGGGCCATGTCATCGTCCTACGACAACATTCCCTTGCACCTCCAGCTCACTGATACCGCGGCCTCCGGCACGGGTACTGGTCAGGGAACCAAGTCAAGCACTCCTCGCAGGCTTCGTCGAGGCCGATGGTCTGCCATACCTGCCTCTTGGCGCAGGGTTTTTGAATGAGGCTCGCGGGTTGGCAGAAGCGGGCAAACGTGAAGGAGAGGTGCTTGCACGTGAAGGCGTGGGCGTAATATTGACACATTTTGAAGCTTGTAGTTGGGTGTAAGTCGTGGGTGGACGAGTATTGTTGTAATCCCAGTGAATGTGGTTGGTTTTGTATCTCTTGAGTGTAGTTGAGACTTGGTGCCTGAAGGAGTCGCTTTTCTAGTTGTTGGGTTCTCTTTGACTTGTGAGACTTTGCGATTGTCAAGGTATTTCAACAATCGTTGATAGTTGCGGCCGAAAGTATCAACAGCCGGCTTGGGAACGAATGTTGAGGCTGGCTCGCTGGTATCTTGACAGGCGTGTAAGAAATGAATGTGATTATGTCGGATCAACTACTTCAAGATCCAAGAGATGAAAAGCACAATCGAGAAATACCGACCAAAAGGGCATCTATTTGTAGCACCCCCCTATCTCACAAACACAATAACGTCAGTTCGGTTTGCCTACGTCGGGCACCAAACCGCAAGCTACGGCGTCACCTCGATCCTACCAGACAATACCGTTTGAGAAGCTGTAGGAAGCCTGCTTCCCCCCATACCTTACACAGAAATCGAGCCCGAGGCGAGGTACACCAAAGACTCCAAAAAAAGGAGGAAACCAAACCCAAGCCGAAGCACCGAGATCTATGAAATCTCGCAAAGCAGGGCACGCGGGTCGCGGGTCGTCCGGAAGCTGCAACGTCCCGATCCGGGAAGCAAACGGTGGTTACCGTGGCCAGGAACCAGGAACCAAACGACGTAGACACTCAAACTGAATCTTTTGCTCTGATTCGAGAAGAAAGGAGGACACCGCCGGGGGAGGGGGGGGGGAATATGCTTGCTATTCAGCTTCACATGTCCGAAGAGACAGCTGGCAAAAGGGTGTGTTGCACTGTCTGATGAATGCATCCACGTTCCAAAATGTGTGCCCGACAAAACGTCATGATGTCTCTTGCGCTGGTATTGAGGCAAGTCGACACGGCCAAGGGGTTCCAGAATGGCTGGCTCATCTTCAACCTCACCCGGCATCGAGGCTGTGATCGTGGCATATAGGGCTGCAGGCTCGTGATCTCAGAATCGCGGCGTAACGCAGTTCTGAAGCGAGTCCGACCCCGAGTGAGATGACGAGGTCGTACAGTATGGGTGTCAGAGTGCGCGACGTCGAGGCTGGCAGAAGGTACGACGGCCGCTTACGCCTGTTGTAACAACACATACAGAGAGTATGCGTTTGTACTGCGGCCTCAATCACTACGTTGAAGACATGTACAGAAGTTGGCAGGCCATGTCACAAGGCACGCTTGCACCTGTGGTCTTTGTCTGCACCTACTTACACCTAGCAGCGCTCGCCACCCCGGAAGAGCTCGCATCATATCTTGACTCTTAACAAGGCGGAGTGGAGGTGGGCCCATCAAGAGACAAGAAATCGTAACTTCAAGATGACATAGGTGACATACCTAGCCGCAAGGAACTGGATGCCTATTCTTCACCGCCAGTTTTAGTACTGCCTGTTGCTGCTGCTGCTCACTTCTGCAGTCGTCAGGCAGGGCTTCGGTATGTAAGCGGTATGTTGGGTTTCTTGTATTTTTTTTTGAGATCGAACGCCATTCAGTGAAGAATAGGTACCCAGGGTGGATTGAGAAGGAGGGGCGGTCGCATTGATCATGGCCAAGCGTGGGGTTGGTAATGGGCCATAGGCTTGTCAGATCCAGGTTCATTCTTCTAGTCACTATAACTATGTGCGAGCTTCATCAGCACTCATGTGTTGGCGTGGCGTAACAGTGCGAGGTGTTCCCTGGAGCGCTGAGATGGGATTACCTTACGCGGAGTTGTCAGGCGCAGCGAGGCCATGGATCAATGCGCTGGCACCATTGAGGCCTCTGGGAGGCCGCACATAAGGTCGGCGAATCGCGACTGAGGGTATCGATAGGCGGGTTTTTCACACTTTGGACTTTTGGTACAGCGAAAAAAGAGGTGGCTGGGATGCCGAGAGTTGAGTCGAGCGCAAAGGGGACGTTTTCCCTGCTTCGAGAAAGCGCGCCGCGTCCCGTTGGTCAGATCAGAAGACGATCAAGAGACGTTGGACGCTAAGCCGAGAACAGACTAGAGCGACCCGGATAGGAGCTTGGGGCCACTGCCAAACGCTGGTGGGTCGAGTAAGCGGTACGTATCCTTTTGGGTGGAAACACCGTGGAGCACAACTTCACAAGTTATTCCACGACGGACGACTTGTGCCATTTAACCCAGTCTTGCTCGTACAAGACGGCCTTGTGCAACCTGAATCGGTGAATACACCACGATGTCCGAGCAGCATTTGTTTCGGGACGTGGGCTGGGTAATCTGAAACCCCCAGACTGACAAGGGTGAACAGTTGCACGGGCTATTCATTGCTGTTCGAGGGCGACGGGAAGGATACAGTACTCGATAGTCGACATCCGGCCACGTTGTGTGCCTTCGGGCCCCTTGCTTTGCTCCTTTGCCTTTGCCTGCGTATCCGTAGGGTGCATCAAGGATTCTGGGCACAGCCAGAAGCAGGCCAGCGTGGGGAGCATACAACCGATATCGATTCGCCGGCAGCGGGTCACCAGAGCGCATTGCGTATTTGCGCCTGTCTGTGTGGGCGCATGGCGAAGTCTCAGAGCGACACGAAAGACAGGTTCCGACAAGGGAGGAAAAGCAAGCAAATCAGCAATCTAGGCTGATTTGTGCGCATCAAGCGAGATGGCATCTCCCGTGTCTCAGGCCAGCGTGATATGTTGATATGACGGGAGAAGTGTGAGAAGATGGCCCGGAAGTGAGGATCGTGTAGCGTCAAAGTTGGCCATCGTCGCAGCGATTGGGAGAGGCTGCGGTCTGTCTTGAGGGCCGAATAAAACATTGTCTACGTATACTCGTAGTGAAAGAGGGGTTCAGTCCGGCCGAGCAAGCTGCTGGTCAATGAAGGATACTCGAGAGTTGAAAGTCGAGACCCCGCGGACCCTTGAGATAATTAGTTGGTTTAGTCGGCTTGTCTCGGAGCGTGGCTCCACGCGTCAGAGGGAAAGCGCGGCGCTATCGCGTCGTCGGCGTCAATTCAGATCAGAAGGCATCCTAGACCTAGGGTTCAGATGAACGGCGCTTGGTCCTGTAGCGCGGTCATGTAGAAAGCTTGGATGGCGAGTGACTGGCGGGGAAGAAGCACGTCGCGATGCCTAAAGTAAGAACGGATACTCCGTACTCGTAGGATAAATCGATGACTGAGATCACATCAGCTTGGCCGCTGTTTTTGAGAACTTCGGAGAGCGGACTGGAAGGGGAAGGATGCCGATGAGTGAAAGAGAGGCCAGTGGAGGTGAGGCAAGCAGCGCAAGAGAGTGACCAGGAAGTATTCCCGTCTTCGCTCCTACCTTGGTGGTGTGTCTGGCTCGTTTGGCTTGCTATGCTGGGGGCCTGGGGCAAGTGGGCAAGTTCGCAATTGAATTGCCAGCGCCAGTCCCCATTTCATAGTTCAAAAGTCAAGCGGGTCGCAGGGATCCCATCTTAGCGCGGGCATCTTTTTACCCCCCGTGTCCCCGTCCAAGTTCGTGGGAAACCGTGCCTGAGCTTGGCTTACGGATGGGATACCTTGACTTGCACACTTGCAAGCCTTGTTCCCACGCTGTTTCCCGCCTCCGTCCAGCTCCAGCTTTCCAGCCCAAGCTCCAGCTCCAATTCCAGCTTCAGGCCGTCTCTTTTTTTCCCTTTCTCTTTCTTTCTCATCACTTGGTTGAAGAACCTTACCTACCCGTACAAATACTTATCTTTTCAGCTCCAGCCCACTAAGCAATTGAAAGCTGATGTCACTCGCGCCCAATCCAACACCCATCTTCACACTCGATTCCACCAGGGCTACCACATCAATCACTCTCAAGCCTTAACTCACACGGTGCGCGCGTCTTCCGAGGGGTGGACAACTCATCTTGCAGCATCTTGCCCCCATCATCCAACCTACAATACCCGACTTCATTCGCTGCCTCTCGCCTCTGTACGACATCGCCCACGGCCGTCATTGCTGCTCCTACTTCTCATCTCACCTCATAACCACCCGACCCCTGGTGTCCAAAGACTCCATACTCAGGCACCCTATCGCGCGGCCACCATCACCTGTACGGTACCTGTTGGGCGACTTCGTCATTCATCTGTATCAGTACCCCAGGAAGTGCCTCCATTCCCAATCGGCCTCGGTTCTCCAAGCTCTACACTACCTTACGGCCAGACCGCGTAGCAGCTCTCGCAAAGGCCCACACTCGTTCATGCACAATACGACCGCACGCCCCAGTCCTCTGCGCCTTTGTCTGCAAGCTCTCCTTTAGGGCACATATAACCTGCAGCTACCTACATTACCTCACATTACATTACATCGCCCGAACCCGTCTCAAAACTTACTCGCATCGCCGCTGTTCCTCAACTCGTCCTCAACTACTGTCGAGATGCCTTCATAGCCCGACATCCAACACACTACCTCGTCACACCTCAATTTCACGACCGCCACTGCTGCCAGCCGTCTCATCTCGTCAATTTTCTCGCCTGCTTCCGCCTTGACGTTGACAGACATTTAGCACTTAGTCCAGCCCCCGCAGCCACGCCCACGCTCACATCCACGCCCGTTCTTCACCGCCTCCTACGCCGGCATTACCCTCTGACACTCGTTTATTCTCCCAGGGATCGCCCTCGTAGCCTATCGGGTAGCTCTATCTACGCCTGTCCTCAAAAGGCTTCTGGACGACAATCCACCCAAGCATTGAGCGTTGTCGTCATGCCATTTGCGAAAAGACTACTCAATCACTCATCTTCTCACTTGAGCCTCATCCCGCTCTCACTTGAATAATCGATTTCTGCGCCTAGCAAGTTGCCAATTGGTTGAACGATCGGGCTCACTCACTAAATACTTACTAGTAATGTATTATACCTGTGAGTATTCATTTCTTCCAGATTACACTCAATGCGACCGGTGCCCGTAGTCGCTGACAGCCAGCATAACTCAGTCTCGTTACAGGCCAAAGATAAAAAAACGTAATCGGCTTGTTCTGCGCCCCGAATATCTTCTCATCCTCCAGCTTTTCTTAGCTCTCATAATTGGCTCATTCACTGTTGCCCGCGGCTCATACTCTGCCATTGCTTACGCCCTTCTACTGAGCGGCTCTGAATCAGTACAGAGAACGGCACTTAATTATCATTGGCGAAATTCCGGCGAATCCCAGCCGAATTTCTCACTCCGGGCTTGCCCCTTCTTCATCAGGACTACAGAAGCCGTAATACTCATCTCCGCCATCTCATCCGCCGCAGACGTGCGGATAAATTCTCATGGCTTCCTCCGAAGTTGACCAGAAGTTCCTCGGAAAATGGGCGAAAACCGTCGAAACGGATAATCCCCTCTTGTCGTCGATGCTTTACAAGATCCTCGGGCTCTCGCTAAGCCTTGCAGAGCAACTTGTCACAGCGAAGAAACAGCGCAGACCCGATGCCGCCCGCGCGCCTCAGTCTCTCGACCTCATTTTTCACATCATCTGGCTTTCGAGAGAGGGCCTAGTGATGCTCCAGCAGTATGTGATTCCTATGGTGGGAAATCATACAGAACTCCGAGTGTTGGCGTACAAGCTACGAGCATCGTTCTACCACATTTTCGTCCTGTTCCACAACAAACCTGCAGTGTCCACCATGGGCATCGCAACTCCAGACACGATGGCCGGATTGACCCCACCAAGGTTGGACAAGGGCAAAGGGATCGCGAGGGAGGATTGGAACTCATCTCAGGGCTCAATACAGCCCACACATGCCCTCGAGGGCGGTCCAGTGAACCCTCCGCCGGGTTTTGCTCCTCGAAGCAGCTCAGACCAACCCGCCGCTTTTCTCGAACCGCCGAGAGATTACCTCCCCGAAGCGCACAAGTACTTCAAGGAGGCGATTGCCCTAGCTGACCAACACCTCTGGGGATCGCATTCATTACGACTCTCCGTCAAGACTGAATACGCCGCGTTCCTCTACGAGTGTGTACACGACGCTGACGGGAGCCGAAAACTGGCCAAGGATGCCATATCCGAGGTCTATGAGGCGACCGAGGGCATGGACGACGACATGTTTTCCGATGCTTGCGAGCTGGTCACCGTCCTGGGCAAGATGATGAAGCGAGGGCTTGGGTCGAGCAACAACACTTTGACTCGAGGAACAAGCCCTAGTCCAGCTGCACCCCCAGGAACGACCATGGCCCCTGGCATGGAGAACCCCATCTGAGTGAGGGCATGTGTCAATGGTGGCTGTTCTATGTCCTGGACGGGAGTCAGTCGATCTCATTCGATCTCCGGCCACGAAATTCTTTAGAGAAGTGTAGTTTGGTGGTGGTGGTGGTCATATACTACTGCTCCGACCGGCGGCGGAAGCTGCGCTCGGGTTGGGCATGACGACCTCGCATGAAATGCGTCTACCGCTCCCCTTTTCCAGGCTTCTTCGATGTACAAGATTCAGCTCGAAAAAACTACCGCCACAGCGGAGTTGAGCAGTCTAAGGGGGGCATTCTCGAAACTTTGAGCGCACACAGCATCTCAAACGGCGCATTGGTTGGCACATAATATTACAGCAGACCCCCTGGATAGTTTCAAGGGCTGCTTACCTGTACTTATATCTTGGATACGGCGAGAAAGGAAGGCGAACTGATCAGGTGGGAGATTTTCTCCATGCGCCATGTAAGATGGCTACTTGTTGTTGTTATAGTTGATTCCCGTTGATACCCCATCCTCTGCGGTGGCTGCTGGTGGTAGTCTGTACCTTTTTTCCTGTAGGAGCTTCAAAATCTGGGCATTTCTCTGCAAACTGGAATTCTATGAGATCAAACTCAGACTATTCACAACCAAAAACTTGAAATGCAAAAGCAGTTCATTGTGTGTGTATCAGCCATGGAAAATAGCAAAGGATGGCTGACTGGATATGAAAAAGGATCCCTAGTCCTCGTATGGAGGAACTACCTTGTTACCCAGAGACAGCCCAAAACACAAAAACGCAAATTACCACCCCATCTATCCATTATCCCGAATCCCCAACCCCAATTTTTGATATCCGATAACCCATTGCCATCCGTCTAAACTAGTTGTCCCAAACTAAAGGCACGATCAAAGTCTCGTGGACGACAAAACGCAGGCCGTAACCTTCGTCGTCATCATCATCATCATTCTCATTCGTCAGTCGTTACCTCCCTCGAGCCAGGTACCTCATGAGGGTCGTATTTCGCAAACAAGCGTAAGAAAAAGGAAAAAGGGGGTATCAATCCTCGTCGTCATCGATCAGAGCATCCTCAGGGGCGTCCCGACCCTCATTAGGGTCCAACAGATCCTCGCTACCGGCCACCGAGGAGGCCCAACTCCGCACGCCGGCGGCTTTTCCTCGGTCCTCCTCGGCCTCGCACCTCGACTTGATCATGTGAAGCGGCACCATCCGGCCCGTGGCGTTGTAAAAGTTGGCCTGCATCTCAAGCCACTTTGTCGCCTCCCTCTTGGAGACCACCGCCGCGAGCGTCGCGTCGTCTCGGCGCTGCTGTCTGTCTGCCGGGCTGGGCGCACGTCTGTGGGCGGGAGGGGGAAGCGGCCTCTTTCTCTTGTGCGATGCTGCCGGCGTGGGTGGGTAGAGTGCCGGGTGGACGTGGCGGCGGATGTAGCGCTCCTGGCCGGCGAGTTCGCGTTTGTATTGAGCTTGAGGATCGGCGTCGTTATCGTCCGCGCTGGTAGCGGAGGACGTTGACTCGGAGGCCGAGGAGGCGTCGTGGAGGAGGTTGAAGCGGTCTCGGTAGGATGAGCTCGGGGTCTCATCGTTGGTGTCTGAGGTAGCAGGCTTTGACGAGTCCTCTGACGGGGCGGGCTTGGCGGGCTTGCCTCTCTGTTTGGGCTCCTTGAGCTTGGACTCGGGTTTCTTGCCCTCAGTGATCTTCACCTCCTTGGAAGGCTTTTGCGACTCTTTCAGTTTTTCATCAGACTTTAGGGTCTCCTTGTTTTTCTGCTTCTGCTTTTCGGCTTTGCGCTCCGCCTTTCTCTCTGCCTTGGATTTATACTTGTCATCATCTGTCTTTACCTCATCTTGGCTCGCTTCGGTTTTGGCATCGGCCTCGGTAGCCGCCTGGGATTCGGTCTGAGTAGTCTCTTCTGTATGAGCCTCGCATGTGGATTCGACCGAATTGGCAACGTTGATCTTCATTACGTGCCAGCGCTTTTTGACCTCGTTCTTGCCTCTGTTGATTGCGTTTCCGATGGAAGCCCAGGTCTCACCACCCTCCTTCATGCTGATGATGAGAGCATCCTCTGAGGCTGTCCACTCGCCCGTGGTTGATGATTGGGCACCAGTAGAGGCGTCTGCGCTCTTTGAGGATGCATCGTCAGTTGTGCTCTTGTCTTCTGAGGCTGTCTCGCCAGAAGCTGACGATTCAGGCCCCTCTGAGCTGGCTGCTTCTGATGTGACTACAGAAGATGTCTCTGCTTCCGTGACCGACTTGCTTTCTGTGTCTACGGCCTTGCCCTTCTCGTTTGGTTTATTCTTCATGTCCACCTCACTGTCAGCGGCGTCTGTGGTAACCTCCGAAGTCACAATGCTGGTTGACTTCCCAGATGTGGTTTTGTTGTCAGGCTCGGTGAGTTCCTCGACGTCGAGATCTCCAAAAAGGTCGACGAGGGTCATAGCGTCGTCGTCAGTGACTACCGTGACGGAGGATGTGCCATCGTCAACCACCGTGGCAGCCAGATGATTAGCTTTGGTCATTGCGAAAGCATAGGTATGTTGACTCGTGGAGTGTTGAAGAGGTGAAGCTGAAATATGTGTTAGAAAAGGATTTGGAAAGGGAAGGTTCACTAGAAATGTGGCTCACTTTTTGAAGTTTGGTCTGCTTGTGAGTACTCTGAAAAACCATAAAGCTGTGAGATTTGCAGTCGCTGCTTCCGTGCCGAAATGATTGTAATTGTCCGATCCGCAGTGTTAAATCCGCCGAGAGTGACAATGTTCCTTCCTTCTTCCAGAGGACGACTTGGTTGATGATGCGCTTGAGATGTCTGAGTGTGAGGTCGATCGGGTGTTATCAATAGACTTGGATGTGATGTTGATGAGTAAGTTGTAGGTAAGTCCAGGCTTTGTGAGTGCTGTTGAAAACGACAGTGTAGTTGCGGTGTTCTATTGATAGAATGATCAATGAGATTGCCGGCTGAGGAAGCACGAGTCGCGATTGTCACTAGGTGGTGCCTTGTGAGAAATCTGGCGGGTAGCTGAAAGAAAGAATAGAGGATGAGGTGGGTGATTGAGCTTGCCGATTGATAAGGTAGGTGAAGTTGACAAAGGAGGCAGGAGCGAGTGGTCACAGGGGGGTATAAATCAATCAGGAAGCTACAACTTCACCAAAGCTGGCAGGAACAATGTTCTGGCATTCTTTCCTAACCAGACAGACCTGCCCTCCCAAGTATTAAGTGGGCAATTGAGTCAATTCTGTAAGGCAGGTTGGGGGGGGGGGGGGAAACAAGAAAAATATTCTGCTTGTGGCTGTGGTGAGCACGAACCCGAAAAATGAAAACTTGAAGCTGGCTTTGATGGCCAAGATGGGGCAGGAGGACCTCCCTGAAAGCTATTAATACGGCTTCATCAGACTGCCAAAGTGTCAAACTTCAGCTTAAGCGGTTGAATGGATCCGACCAATCAACGAGCATGGATCATAGGTATGGGAAGTGTGCGTGTGCAGCTTCGGTCATGGTGGGACGAAGCGACGAAACGTCGTGGTTCGGGGTCCCTTCTCCAAGTTCCCCCTTCCTAGATCGCAAAGTATTCTCCGGTCTAGAACAGGCGAGACCGGGCGGCAGGGCGATCTGCCGAAGCATGGAAGCATGGCGCCAACAGATTGACAGGTTATGGGTCGTGTCGATCTGTATGCTGAAAATAGGCGTTAATTGTGCGACATGATGAGTGTGATATTGAGTGGGAAGTTTGGTAGAGCCATGGTCTGCTGCGTGGGGGAGTGGGATGTGTGTGGGAAATATCAAGTTGACGTTAACAACAAGGTCCGGGGATTGGTCCACGGTAGTGAGGACGAGGTGAGCCTCTGATCTCTGATGCAGGTCCGGGACGGGCGATGCGTGAGCGACGGCCAATCATGCCTCGGGCTTACTCATCGTCCTGAACCCGCCGTCGGTGGTTGCATTTTTAATTTCGGTCTCTGAAAAGTACAGCAAACTACAAGAGGCACTCCGTCAAAAATCGGGAAGGTACTATACCTACCCTCCTACTAATTACTTATTAAATATTTTCCGTATTAATATATATAGAATTCGTAACCCCCCTAAATTATTATTTCTAATTAGCCTAATATAGGGCTACTAGCGTACCGAATTCCTTATTTTTAATTCTTCCCTAGCTCTAACTTTTTTTTTTTTCTTTATACTTATATACTTTTTAATAAATAACCCCTATTATTTATTTAACTTTTATTTTATAAAACTACCTATTCTATTACTTTAATATAAAATCTATTACGATATTATAATTATTAAACTTAAAGTAATTCGAACTATACCTATTTTACTTTATTTACTTATATATATAAAAATCCGTAATAATTAGCAATTTTTTACGATTTTTTATTATTTTCTACGGTTACGTTATTAGATCTATTTATAGTTTCTTTAACCTAATTTAACTTTTTTTTTTAAAAAATTTACTAACTTTTATTTAACTTAATATATTAATTAATATACCCAGCGTTATATATATAATAATTTATTATACTATACGAGCCTATATAAATAATTATATTTATTTATAGGCTTTTATAAGCTTATATAAATAGCTATATATAATTTAGAATTCGTATACGGCCTCGTATACTACTATATAACTATAACTAGCTCTATTAATATCGCTTTAGTTATATTTAAAATTATAAACGAGGTTATACTCCTTTATAAAAAGGCGCTACTTAGTAAGTAGCCGTAGTATTTTATTAAAGATAAGCTCGTTACTATATAGGCTTTTATATATATATATACCTCTATATTAATATCTATATAGCCTTATTAATTATTATAAATAGATATTATTAATAACGTAAATAATAATATTATTACGTAAATTACTTTTTAAAAAATAGAGGTTAATAATCTATATAGTTCCGTATACGAGTTTAATAAATTTAATAAATCTATTAAGTTAAAAATATACTCGTACTATATATAAAGGTCTTAGATAGAACCTTTTAGTTTTATAATTACGAGCCTAAGCGCTTATAAAATTCTAAAGTAATCCTTATTTAAATATATAGATTTATATAAATAGATAAGAAGTTATATAAAAGTTATAAAAAGAGTAACGGGCTTTTTAAAGCCTATATAGTTTTAAATAAATACGAAGTATACGGTAACTATTATTATAATATTAGCGCTTTTAAATATACTTTTAATAAATTCTATATAGATCTATATAACTCTTTACAAATTTATAATTAATTTTATAAAACTTTATAGCTAAGTGCCCCGGTATACCCTCTTTTATAACTCTATATAAAATAAAGGCCTTTTATTTAGAAATTAATTTCCTTTTTATAATTCGGGGTATTCGCTCCCGCTAGCTACGGGTTCTAAATAAAGCTATTTTAGGCCTTTTAAATAAACTTAATAACGTTAACTACGGTATATATCTATATATACTTATATAATAACTAAACGCTTTTTAATAATTCTTTATAAATTTTAATTAACGTCTATAACTTATTATAGAGTTTAATAATAAAAATAACGTTTAGATAATTCTATATAGAAGGCTATATACGTTTATATATATTTACGATTTATAAAATACGATCTATAAATATATATAGCTACGTATAGGGGTATATAGAACTTACTACTTATATATATTTTTAAGTATTTTAGGCCGGTTAATTTCGAGTAGTAGTACTTATATATACTTATATATATAAGTTTATAGACCCGCCCTACTTTTAAGTTTTTTAGGTTTTTAAATACCTAACTCGTATATTTTTATATACTTCTATATGCTACCGTAAGATATTTATATAAAGTAATATATTTCTATTACTCTATTTACATTTTTATATTAAAATGCCCCCTCGCAGTTGACTATATATCGATTTAAAATTATATTAAAACGAGATTTATAAAAAGATCGAAGTTAGTTAGAAATACTCTAAAATTATATTATTTCTTACCGAATCTAAATTAATTATATTATTTATATTAACGTTCAAACGCTATATTCGAAAGTAGAATATTTATTAATAGATCTAAATAGAGTTTTTAAAAGCTCTACTTTACTAAATTATCGAGTTATTCTTTATATAACGCCTATTTAATAAATATATTATTACGATATTATAAAGTAAGGACTTCGTAATCTCTTTAACGGGTCTAATTTCGATACGAAAATATTATTAATTACTTTAACGATAAACGGAATAGTAGTTTATTATAACTTGTTATAAAGTAATTAAATATATATATATATTTAAAAAAACTGCCCGTATTATTCATAACTATAGGCGCGAGTTTCTCTATATATATATATAATAACGTAGATACGTTATTAACTATAATATACTTTATAATATATATTATACAGTTTTTTTTATAAAAGTATATACTCGCCTCTACGAAATACGATATAAATAAAAAAGATATATAATACCTAGGCCTAATTATATTTAGTTAATTAATATATATAATAAACTACTTCTATAGGGATTCGAGATCTATACTAGTATTAAGATATACTCGCGATTTATTATATAGTTCTATATTAACGTTAAAGCTTATATAGTAAAAGCTATATTAAATTAATATCTTTATGTTATTTCTAAATAGGGGTTTATACCTTTAAAAATAAAATTAGATCGTAATATCGAAACGGTTTTTATTACTAGAGGTTATAACTATTTATTATAAAGTCGTATTAAATAAGACTTTAATATATAAAACTAAAAAACTCCGCTATAGTTTCGTAATTATTAGATCTTTAAAAAGAGTATTTATAATATTAAAATCGAAAATTAGTAGGGATAGCTCTATTAAAGTTCTTTAGCTCCTTAGCGAGTAAATATATTTATTATCTTATTTTAAGACTTCTATATAATTATTTATTAATTTAATAAGAATACTTCTAAAAATTATAAAACCTTAAACTCTTTAACCCGAACTCTCTTTTTAATAAAATTATATTATTATATATCTTTATACCTCTTATCCGCTAGGATTTTATTAATTTCGTTTAAATTTAAAATAATTATAAGATTCGCTCGTAAAAGAGTTAGTTATATATTGTTTTTAATTAATTTTAATAACTATTTACCTATCCTAATCTAGAATCGATATAAAACTTTACATATTTATTTAATTTTATTAAATACTAAGCTTTATTAAACTTTATAAAATAAAATAGAAATACAGCGTCTTTTTATAACTACTTACTTATAAAGACTTTTTAGCTCTATTAAATATTACTTAACGAGGGTACTTCTTTTATACTTATTATTTATTTTAAAAGAGATAAATATCCCTAAATAAAAGCTTATAAATACTTATAATACCGTTTAGACTAGTATAATAAATTAAATATTAAACTATAAATCTTATTATTTAGAAAATAGACTAAAGAAGTTAATTAAGTTAAATAATAATTAAAGAGAAGTAGTATCGATATATATAAGTTAATATATATAGAAACGGATAATTTTAAAAATAAAAGTTATAATAATATATAAATTAATTCTTTACCTTTTTAAACTCTTCTTTTAATATAATACTAAATATATTATCTTTATCTTTTACTTTAATAATAATCTTTCTTTTTAGTTTAGGAGCCTTTAATTCCTTTCCCTCTTTTACTAAAACTTATAAAAATTTACGTTTTTATAAAACTAAGCGCTTTTTAGTACTCTAAATTACTTTTTAAGTTTTAAAAGTAAGCTTTTATCCCGTTTTTATTTTTAACTTTATAAAAACTTTTAAATTAAATATAGATTAATTAACTTCGTCTATAATCGAAGTCTTTTTAAATAGTTATTTAATAATCCGTAGCTTTTTAGAACTATTTTAGCTAAAAATAAGTACTTCGGTTCGTAAAAAAGATATAAATAATAAAAGATATATATTTTTATTAAAAATAATTATTATTTTATAAAGAAATAAGCCTAGGGTAATAGCTTTATATATAGTACTTCGGAACTCGTAAATATCGACCGGATTCTTTAAATTAACTAATATTACTTTTTAATTTCGTTTAATAAAATGCTTTTTCGTAATAAATCTAGATAAAATCGTTTTTATTATTTTAAAATATAAAAAATAGGGCGTAATTAAAAAAAAAAAAAAAGTTTTATTAAACTTTTTTAGTAATATAATACGTATATATATAATAATAAGTATTTTATTAATATTTACTTTATAATATAAAATAAGTTAAAAATATATATTAACCTAAATAAATAGGGAGTTCTTCGTTAATTTTTTTATTTATTAAATATTTAATTCGCGTTATTATAAACCCTTTTAGGTAGCTTAAAAGAAGTTAATAACTTAATTTTAGGGTTTTTTAGTTAATATAAAAAGGGCATTTTCTATTTTAATTATATAAGATTTATGTAAAAGACTTCGAGCGGATTCGGTATTATAAAGGGTTTTAAACTCGTTAATAAAAATAAAGTCGATTTCGTTTAGTTCTTTAATATTAAAAAGATTTTAAGAATAGTATATATAAATTATCTATTTATAAACTAATTTAACTATAAAATAGTTAAGTTTACGATTATTAGGGCAAGTCTATACTATTTTAAACTATAATACTTAAACTATAAATAAATAATAATAATAAAAAAATATCCGTATTTATTTATATTATTCTATACGAGTCTATATAGATTTATAAGGTCTTACGTAACCTAACCGATTAATTATATAAATTTATATTATATTTTTAATATAGTAAAGATCTAGGTAGTAGTGTGGGCGTAGAAGCGAAAAGTCTAATTTCTTGATTTTTGACGGAGTGAGCGTTATAGGCTGCCGTAGAAAAGGGTGACTAGCGGCTTTCTCTCTCTTACTGGCTAAGAAGTTCTCGCAAGGCCTGAAACAGTAACCCATCTCTTCCCTCACCAGCGATTACCGTTCAGACTCACTCATCCCAACACCCTCCCGTCGGACACACCCACCATATCCCACCACCTCATACGATCACATAATTATCGCACGCACCAAAATGGCAGCGTCGTCTTCACTGCCCGATCTGCCACCCAATTACCTCAAGGCCCTCGAGCTGATCGACGAGGCCCACAAGCAAGACCCCAGACCATCGTCCGTTGAGTCGGTTCCTTTTGAGCTTCACTATGCCCAGAAGATGACGCGCTGGCTCGCCGTCAGGTCTCCGGCGGCACCTCCGGTCCTGCAACTGGCCTGCCGAGCCCAGCACTTCAGGAGGTAACATTTTGCAATCAAGCATTTTTTTTCTTATTATACTTTTTTACCTTTTTTTAAACAAGCAATTATAAGCATCACATTGTGCATGTTGAGCATATCAAGTCGATGAATAAGACCCCCTCCCAGTCATAGTTACCTAACAAGCCTCATTATCTAACTCACATGAACTACAACCCGTAGATGGGAAATCCCCCGCAACACATACCCAATGACCCGTCCGGGCTACCTCACCTGGCGCGCGAAGCTCAAGTCCCAAGCCGCCGCCCAGGTGGCCGAGCTCCTCGCCTCATCGCCCGACATCCAGCCCGCCATCCCCCAGGAGGACGTCGACCGTGTGGCGGCGCTTATCCGCAAGGAGAACCTCAGCAAGGACGAGGAGACGCAGGTGCTTGAAGACGTGGCATGCCTCGTCTTCCTCGACGATCATTTTGACGACTTTGAGAGTAAGGAGGAGGTTGACGAGGATAAGATTATTGGCATTCTGCGCAAGACGTGGGCCAAGATGAGTGAGCAGGGGCACGCGCTGGCGTTGAAGATGAACCACAGCGAGAGGGCGTTGAGTCTCATTGGGAAGGCTTTGGCGGGGTGACGTTGCGCGAGCTTAAGCTTCATATGAGAGACTTGGGTTTGGAGGGGTAATTCCACATGAAAAGAAATAAAAATAATTCTCCCACCATGGGTCCACTACAGCCCGCAACCCAATGCGATATCGGTGATTTACAGTGATGACGAGCTCTATATCCGTGCATCTTTAGCGAGCGAGAAAATCCCCCCGCGAGTCCTGGGGGTACAATCCACCCCCGCCTGCATGGGGTGGCCATCATCCAAGGGCAATTGCCAGAGTCGCATCAAAAGGGAAACCCGGGGAGGACGGCACGCTGCAGCCCCACCATTCCGAGGGACCCTCTCGGCGCAATACCGCCCGAAATCGACTACCGCCTTCGGTCCCGGGACATGTCAGACTACGCCTTGGCGCCCGGCCCGCGACGACATACAAAGACGGTGATGCAAGACTTCACCTCTCAACATCATTCATCCTCCTTACGCCCTCCCTCTGCTCATCTCACGTATACTCATATGATAATAACATGCCCCCTCTTACATTGACGCCCGCCGAGGTATCGAAACACAACCGCCTCGACGACCTCTGGCTCGCCATCGACGGCTCCGTCTACGATTTCACAGACTTTGTCCGCGAACACCCGGGCGGCATCGCCGTGATTCTCAAGTGCGCAGGCAAAGACGCCACAGAGGTCTACTCTGAAGTCCACGGGCCCAACCTGGTCAAGTCGACCATCCCTATCTCGCACCACAAAGGCGTCCTACCCCCGGGAGCCATCATGGCGAAGCCTCAACCTCACAAGTGGCCCCAGCAGCAGCAACAAGATCCATCCCAAAAACAAGAAAGTCAAACACCACCACCGCCAACCATGCCCTCAAAACCTCCCCTCACCACCCTCATAAGCGCCCACGACTTCGAATCCGCAGCATCCACCTCCTTCTCCCCCAAAGCCTGGGCCTTCGTCTCCTCCGCCGCAACAGACCTCTTCACAAAAACCCGCAACGCGAGCCTCTACTCCCAAATCACCCTCCGGCCCCGCGTCCTCGTCGACGTCGCCGCCGTCTCCACCGCGACAACCATGCTCTCCCACCCGATGCGCGCCCCCATCTTCTGCCCGCCCACCGCAATGGCCCGCCTCGTCCACCCCGAAGGCGAAAAGGAACTCGGCCGCGCCTGCAAGTCCGCCGGCGTACCGCAGTGCGTCTCCGTCTCCGCCTCTTTTCCGCTCGAGGACATCCTCGCCGCCCAGCGCGAGCACAACCCCGTCACACCCTACGACGTCCCCGTCTTCTTCCAGCTCTACGTCGACAAGAACCGCGCCAACTCGGAACGCCTGCTGCGCTCCGCCCAAGCACAGGGCGTGAAAGCACTCTTCCTCACAATCGACGCCCCCATCCCGGGCAAACGCGAGGCCGACGAGCGCGTGGCCTCCGACGAGTCGCTAGGCTCACCCATCTCCGGCGCCCGCGCCGTCAACGACGCCAAGGGTGGCGCCCTCGGCCGCATCATGGGCAGCTACATCGACGCCTCGGTAAACTGGTCCGACATTGCCTGGCTGCGGCGCACCGTCCCCGGCCTCCCCATTGTCCTCAAGGGCGTGCAGACGTGGATGGACGCCGAGCGGGCCGTCGAGGCCGGCGTGGAGGCCATTGTCCTCTCCAACCACGGCGGGCGGAGCCTCGACACGTCCCCCGCGACCATCATGGTGCTGCTGGAGCTGCAGAAGAATTGCCCGCACGTGTTTGACAGTGTCGAGGTGTACGTGGACGGTGGCATCTCGCGCGGGACAGATATCTTCAAGGCCTTGTGTCTTGGTGCTAAGGCTGTGGGTGTAGGTAGGGGGTTATTGTATGGGCTGAATTACGGTGCTGAGGGCGTGGAGCGATACATTGAGAGTGAGTCTTTTTTTTTCGGATCCCAATTTGTCTCGGCTTTCTGGGCGATGGACATACTATGAGATGTATGTCGAGAATGCTGACTTCTTTTGTAGTCCTGCGAGACGAACTGGAGACGACGATGAAAATGTGCGGCGTCACAAATCTAGATCAAGTTCACCCTGGTTTCCTCAATACCTTGGCCGTGGACCACCTCATCCCGGGACGACAGGAAAACCCAAATACACCCTGGCGCCGTGATATACACAGCAAGCTGTGATTTGATTAACCGTCATCAAGAACGCACTAGTAGTGACATGTCTCACGACATCTCTTGGCAATCTATTGGTTGTATATATCTCAATTGCATTAGAGAGGGTTCATATGCCAATTGAGGCCATGTAAAAGACTTTGGGTATTACATATACACATAACGATAGTTGCCCCTCCCTCCAAAACCCTGTTCAACACCATTGCTGACTCCGCGTTCACAATAGCATTTGAGAGCGTGAGCTTCGTGTCCATCCAAGCATCCCCGCATTCATCCTTGAGAATTAAATCCATCATTAAACCAAACCACCAACTACGCTTTTCCACCTTTGCCCGTTCTTGTCAACACTGGCAGCCGTTCAAGCCAACTCACGCAGCTCATTGTCGCCCCTGTGAGCAGGCAGCTCAGACGCGAAGCCCGGCTGCTGGTGCTGATGCTGCTGTGGTGCAGGCGGCTGTCCTTGAGCGGGAGGTGGTGCGTTGTAGTAGCCCCCTTGCTGTTGCGGCGGCTGCTGCTGCTGAGGAGGATACGTTCCCTGCGTCGGGCTGACGCTGTTCTGGGACGGCACATATTGCGGCACACCGGACTGGTATGTAGGCGACGGGCTCATGGGCGGCGGGCTGGAGGGCGGGCTGACGCCGTTGTTGCTCTGGTCGTAGGATCCCGTGGTGACGTCGTAGTGCTGCTTCATCATGCTCTGTCTGTTATTGTTGTCCACGGGTGTGAAGCCCTGCGGGTACTGTCCCTGCTGTTGCTGGGGAGGGTATCCTTGGGGCGACGGCTGCTGTGCCGGGGGGCCAGGCTGCTGGTACATCTGCGGCTGACCCTGGTTGGGCGGCGGGGGTCCGACGTAAGACTGGTGAGTGGCCTGGTTGTTGTTGTTGTTGACATTGTTGGTGTCCTTCTTCTTCTTGCGGAGGAGGAAGATGATGCCGAAGACGATGAGGGCAATGGCCGCTACACCTCCGACGACGCCGCCCACGATAGCGCCAACGGGAGTGGACGAGCCGCCGCCGCCGCCGCCGCCGCCACCGCTAGACGTGCTAGTGGTAGCTGCCGACGAAGCAGTGGTTGATGCGATGTTGCGAAGAGAGGTTGTTGCCGGCGCTGTGGTCGACTCCTGGGTGACGGAAGAATCTGTAGGGTTTGCGTAGACGACAATCACTTCCTCAGTGGCGGCGCATGCATACAGGGTATAACGGTTGAACAACGAGCCCGAGTAGATGTAAGTGGCACACTCGGGTCTTTCCGAGGCAGTGCTAGAAGGTTTCGTATGAGACATGGTTCACGCAGGAAAGGAAGAGCGACAGTGTAACGTACCAGAGTTGCATACGAGTATCACCACTGCTGGCGCGACTAGCCGACCTTGATGGGAGACAGCTCGTAGCAATTGTGGTGCAGTCTGTGACCGAGGAGGAGCTACAACAACCAACAACGGAGTAGAAGCTGTTGATGACACAGGAACCAGTACCGCAGTAGATGGAGTTGGCTGGAAAGAGGTCAGTATCCTTCACAGACCACCAGTCTCTGTTCATCACAAGATTGTATACTTACTAGCCTCTCCAGAGATGTAACCACAGGTGTCGTCGCCTCTTACACGCTTAGCCAGCTTCAGGTCGACATTGCCGGGCTCAGGCGCCGCAGTGGGCTTTGGACTGAAGCCGAGCTCCTCCATGTTCATCGCAGCAATGGTCTGCCTGGGTGGAGACCAGCTTGGGGTATCGTCTTGCCATCTCAGCGCCTTGGACTCCACGCCCAGGTACAAGCAAGCAAGAGCTCCGAGTTGAATGAATCTCCCCATGTTGGATCTGTAACGATATGTTTCCTATGGGTTGACAGAATAATACGATGTGGAGGAAAGTGCGAGAAAAAGGGGGGGGAGAAGGGAGGGATAAGAAGAGACGAAGGCTCCAAAGGAGGATGCGGGAGAAAAGGGAGACAGAAACAGCCAGCCGGGCAATCCCAGCTCGGGCTGAGATGAAAAGTTACCGAATAGAAGGCGCCCTGCGGGTGAGCCAATAGACCATGGCGTCCGACAACGCCAATGAGGCTCAAAGGAGGGATACACCAAGGGTCCAGCTCCAAGTCTCCTGCACTTGACCGTTCGTATCTTGGCCCGGGGTATAGAGGCTGGTTGGGATTGGACCATGTGGAAACTCCGCCTCGTGAGGTGCGGGTATGGACCGATGCGCGTTGGTAGCGTTGTTCGACCTGCCTGGCAAGGCAGACAGCCAGATGATCATTCCAAAGCCGTTTTTCTTTTCTGAGACCTGGTTGCATATCTATCTAGTCGAGGTGACTCAAGGGGGTAAATCTCATGTACTTTGACAGCTCTTTTGCTCACTTACATGGAGATCACTTGATCTAATTCGTGTTTCCCGCGTTGCTTCATACGCTTTCGACTCGCGACTGGAGCACTCACTTGAGTCTTGACAAAACCCTACGGATACGGACTGTAACCAACAAACAAGGCTTTGCGCCCTATGTCACGACAACTCATCTTTGGTGTTGAGTTTTTGGCGTGATAGCGGTGTAGTGGAGTCTAGCGGTGCCCAAGACAAGACTATCAAGGCCTTTAGCCCGAACCGGAGAATGTGGCTTGCAGCTGAAGGCAGACCTCACTCCAGCTCCTGGTCAACTCGCCAAAACCACCCAATGAGACGTCAGCCAGCTGAAATACGTGCAGCGAGCTTGACTGACGATCTCGTGTAATTTTTGCCGAAAACCCCGGACGGGTCGACAGGCCCCTGTTGGCAACGACTCGGACAGCCTTGAATGTCGAAAAAGGGTTCCGTCGCGCCCCGCCTTTACTGTTGAACTAAGTATCTCTCGCATCCACAGCGGAATCGGAGCCTTTGCGCGGAACGCGCCCAGTAAACAAGGCATTTTAGGCAACCTTTGCGCGCCAGTTGCTTCTAATTCAAACAGTCGCCCGGCCCCGGTTATGTTCGGCCGGTCCGCCGGCAAAGGACAACAACGATGAGACGCTCGATGCTGTGATGGCATCAGCTGGAGGAGTTGGACGACAGCCCGCTTGCCAGAGTAGCCGAGACTCCATGAGAAACGTTGAAATGCTCTCACCTTGAAGATGAAACGACTGACTATTCGACTCATGAAGCCGAGCCGAGACTTTGTGGCTGGCTTGGAGAATTTCTGCTCCTCATGTAGCCAATCCGGGTGCTCATGTGTATGTGATCTGTCAGAAAACATATAAGCATGGCATGCTTACAAGGAGTAGATCGCCATCTCGTTCGCCGAAACAAGACCTATGAAACAAGCAGGAAATAAGTAGGGTCTTCTCACAATATCCCAGTAGGAATTCTCCAAATGAAGGCCACAGTGAATCGCCGAGTGGCCTAGGAAATCGAGAGGTTCGTTGCCTGATATCGAGGTCTTATTTCGGCTTTCTTTTCGTTCCACTGTGACTTCGGTGGGTGGAAATAGTAAACAAACAAGGTGATTTGCTACGGCTATTTGAAGAGTCAGTTCCAAGCAACACTTAACGAGTATCAACGCTTGATAATCTTACCGCGTGGCAATAATCCCCAATTTGAATATTAACGTACGACCGTGCAAAAGGTCGAGCTGTCGATTGTCATGATGACATCGGTTTCTAGAGATCAAGTGTGACTATATGGAGCGGCTGACTTTTAGAACTTCCCAAGATTGTTCTCACAACGCGGGATGCGGCTGACTCTTGAGTTGCGAAGCGAAGACAACGGTATCAGTTCGAAGGCGCTCGACTTCTAAGCCGGAATCACTTTGCGACCTGCTTTCTCATCGATGAGAAGTGGTCAAGGCTTGAAGTGGCTTCACGATCATCTCTTTGTACCTGATCCTCGTTGGCAAGGCGATCTGAGTAGGCGTCAAGGAATGACACTTCGCCTCGTGGATCGGGCCAAGTCCCGGACGTCTATTCTTTGAATAATCCAGCCGATCATCGGATGTTCCGGAAAGACACCAAATCGGCAAATTCGATATCGGTATTCAACGCTGTCTTGGACAATCTATACACCTAGCTTACTAGGCTATCGAATGCCACGGTAGCTGTTCGGAACGACGCAGTCTACAAAGCAACAGCTTGGCATCAGCCACAGTGATGACACAAACTTGTCAGAAACTTCGATGACAGTTTCTAAAGAAGAGATTCTAAATCGGTATTGGAGCGATGATGAGCACCGTGGACGACTCCTGCGGAGTGCCACAGTTCGTAGCCTCTCAACTACCACACGAAATGGCAATAAAGGTTTCCGAACGTTCCAGGGTCCAAGAACTGTCTGATGAAGAACCGAGACGGATCGACGTGGAGACGCGCAGCTGGATAGAGGATGACGGTGTCGGATCAGAAGCTCATACAAGTGTTACCGTGCCTTTGCCGCTCTGGTCTAATTGCAAGTGAGCAGGAGAACAGCCTTGTACCCTATCGTACTTCCACGGTCAGCTTTCTCTTCGTACCGTTCGGAGTTTATTTCCTACATCTGCTTGGCTGGGTGAAGCCGCGAATGACAGCAAGTCGTCGAGACGGTGACTCCGTGCAGCTCGATGGTTATCGCTGGATTTCTTCCATCCTACAGATGAAGTCAACTAGAGTTCGACGTTGCCCAATATCCTAGATTCAACTCGCGAGCAACTCCCAGCTTCCGAGAGAGTTCGTTGCCCCTCGGAAGTGACCTGCATCCCGTTTTGGGCCCTCTGCCGTGTGACACTCGTACATGATGGACCATTTGTAACATGCCGAGTTCTGCAGGGGTAACGTCATGTCCTCTGTGAAACCACGAATGAATAATCGTACCACTGTGACATAGTTGAAGCATCTCACAGGACACAAGTAGATTGTGGCCAAAGCTACTTCGACTCTGTAGCGATGACTACCTAGTCTGCGCAATGTCCGCAGCCCGAGACAACGAGCCAAGGGCCGGAATCTGACAATTACTGTGCTACAGAAGAAGTGCGTGGATTTCCAGAGGATGTGCTAGACACAGGCAACAGAAGTTGCCGGCATAGCTGTAAGTATATTTGGAGACAATGATAGGGTTCTCTTCGCCCTAGAAATCGTGGTTTGTATGATTAAGGTACTGGTCTGTGGTTATGCCGTGGATCTCAGTGGGGTTGGCGTAAACGGTCCCGTTTCCTCCCAGCTTTGTCTGTCTGACCATACACCACGGCTGACAGACCGTTGTTCGAGGGAACGGTGAAAACATCTGATCACGCTAATGGATCCTAAGGCGCCGGTCCTTGATGGTGTGAAGTTCCGCTTAGGCCCGAAGGCGCAACGAAAAGTGGAAGCAATAGCTGCTTGTCGATTATGTTGTCCAAATATTCCGAGACCTGTAGTTCGCAGAGCCTCAAAGTTGAGATGAAATGTGCAGGGTTGGGGCGTCTCAAGATCCCGACGTCAAGCAGGGGCCAAGAATGGTGGCCAACTCACCAATATCGAGGCCAACCAGGATCCCTAGCCGACACACCAGAGGTAGAAGAGAAACGACCACGGTCTGTCCCACGTCCATTTCGCAGAAGAGTGCTATTTGTGACATTAGCACTTAGCCTATGCCGTACATATTCGATTAGAAGCTATGCGAGGCTCTGAACTTGGCTTCTCGCGAATTAGGGATGTCGGAATGTCAAGCTGCATCAAATGCACTGGACCACCTGGTATTGGCCGTTACTTCCGACAGAGCAAAGCACACATGCTACGCATCTTCGAGCTGACCTTTGTTGCACACCACATGAAAGTTGGTGATGTAGTACATGCAGACCCCGAAAAGCTACCGTCTGACTGGAACGATGCTGTGGCCAGATCCGGAACCCCGAGATCTCAATAGGCGCCGCCGTCCTGTGTTTTGCATGTCGCACCACTAAAAGGTCGCTAGCTGATAGCCAGGGTTGGTAACTAAGTAAGGGAAGTCGGTGAGGGCTGGTGGCCGATCGTACATGAGGGTTGGTGGCATCGGCTGCATATTCAGAGCACATCCAGCCGGCTAGCTGCATGTCTCTTGCTCTACGGGGGGTCTGCTCGCCAGAACTGCGTTTTCGATTTAGACGTATTGTATCTGGTCGTTCAAGAGACCGGATGTCCAGGTATGGTGGTAGGACGGGTGGTCGGCAGTGAGAATGGCAGTCAAACCGATGTAGGTGCCAGGCCGAGAGTTTAGAGGGACGTCCCTAGCAGAGCAAAGCAAGATTGACATATCGATCGAGGCGTCTATCAGTATCCTTCTTGGCGACAGCAGAATCTTGACGTAGGTGCTTTTTTTGATGTTCTGCCCACTGTATGACGACAATTCCCACTGGTCTTTGCCGCTTTGAAATCGCTACATGCCACAATGATGGCGCAACGCCCGGGTGCTCTCCGAAGGGCACAGGGGCCAGAGCCATGGTAGAGCATAATGTGGAATCTGCAAGGCGGCTGTCTGATTCCCCTGTAGATCGTTCCCGTGATGCTAAGCTGCTCTGGCTCGTAGCGCCATGCTAAGCGGTGGATATCAAAGAGTATGTTGTCTCAGACGACTGGTGCGGTGGCTGTCCTTTACATCCATCTACCCGTCTATATTTGTCAAGGTGCAGGACGTGGAGAGGTGGCTATGACGGGCGAAAGCTGGTGCCGGCGAACTTTTGCTAGGCTTTGGCCATGAATGACCAAGCGTTGCTAGTTGGGGTCGGAGAATTAAATCGGGAACCACCGCTAAGGCCAACAGTGCCACTAGGTACTCTGAAAGCAAGGTGCTAGGACCCCAAGGTAGCAAACTGGGCTCGCTTTGGAGTTTGAAATGCTAACATCGCGTCGTCGATAGCCGAACCGAAGGGTGTTTGGTATCACGCATCTAAGGTTCTCATACTCCTAACCGTTTTCGACGAGTGGTCCGAAGAGTAACTGCGGCTGTCCCCGGGTCCTGCTCAGTCTGGGAGAAACTTGGTGGCCGACTGGAGCTGAGGGAGGCTAGTGTATTTGGAATCCGGTCCTGTTGGGGCGCGTGCACATTTTGGAGCTGGACCCTGACTGCGAGACGGAACAAGGTCGTGCGGTAGGGGAGTATGGGCTGGCTCGGAGATTCGTTGGTTGGCCAAGGGGATGCTCTGAGCCCTAGTCGGTCGAACCAGATCTGCGCTGTCTAGAGAAGACGAATCGAATACTGGGACCGGGCAGATGGCCAGACGGGAGATCAACTTGGGGATGATCCTTCAGAGACAGACAAGTTGACAATGTCTCGGTCGACCGAGCCACTAGTTCGTCCAGCTTCCTGCTTAATCCAATGAGCTTCTGTGCTTCTGTTCCGAATGTCTATAGCAGCACGAGGACGCACCGAATCAGACAGATCAAAGAGCCCTTGGCTCAGCGATATCTACTGTACGGATACCAGTAAGAGACATTTAGGTAGCGGCTTGAGGTCGAGGATCAGGTTGGCCCCGGTCATTCATTTCTCGGCCGGAGCAGGGGTTGAATCCCTGCGACCACGCACGTCTGTCGCTCACAGTTTCGTTCGCAGTCCAATTCATGTTCTCGTCGACGTACTAATACCGATATACGCGTTTCTGGGTCGAGGTACAGCAAGAGTCCATGTTGTGCAACACGATCTTGTGGGCGAATCCTGCTAGATCCGCGGGGTCACGATGACTTGCGAATGTAACCCGTCGATATACCGGCGATTATTCGAGTAAGTGATCTTTGTGTAGAACAAGACCCGAAAAGCAATGGAAAACGCGACTCCATGTGAAACTGCAGACCTCGCAGGTTGGTGTATTGATGATAGATGGGAGGAACATCTGTATCTGTACTCCATACTGATAACATCGTAACGTTGGCGCGTGAGTGTCGAAAGTACGTATCTGAGTTAGTGCACCCAAACCGTTATGCCTTATATAACTGGTCTAAGCTTAGCTGCGTTCCCCACGCCTGCGCTCGACCGGGAAATGCAACGAAATCTGCGGTTCGTCGGGCGCTTGGAGAAGAGTCTTGCATGCCTCAGTGCGGGCTTGACCGGACGCGCCTGATCTAGGTTCTTGCATGATCCGCTAAAATATTCAAGCAGCTTAGAAATGGGGCCAGCTTACCGGAGCCTCGATGCCGCGCTCATGATTGTCCAGATCACCTGTAGTGTAAGAGCGCCTTTTATGGTTGTGAATTGACACTGGTCTGGCTCTGTTCCCCTGGGCTGCTTCATTCGCCACTTTTGCAGTGGTGCAAGGGCAGCTGAAAGACATCGTCATTGAGTAGTCGCCTGCGGCGGTGATGTTCCCCAAAGTGCCCTGGCGTGAGACGCAGCTGGGACTGGTGGCTTCGTTGGCTTGCACCAGTGACATCGTCTTAGCCTGGCCGTTTGCTTGCTTATTCTTCGGCGCCCATCGATTAGTCTTGCTAGCCGACTACTGGCGTGTGGTGCTTCCCCCAGAGTCTAGCCGGCTTGTCGCACCCATGGCAATCAAGTCTCTCGAGGGAACATGGATAACTAAGGAAGCGAGATAGTTGATGAATATAAGGCTGGATTGGACGGAGGATGGTAAACACAATGAGCGTTCGATACGGAGAAGGCTCGAATCGGCGAAAGGACCTTGCTCTGTTTGTCAGGAAAATCTCTCCGGCTATCTCGCGGCTCGGATGCTTGGATGCGTGATTGCAGCCTTTCGACCGAGATGAAGACGGTTTTGATGAGAAGAGAGAGAGAGGGCTAATAGAATCAAGGGCGGAAACGGCCAAAGATGGTTTTGGCGCTTCAAGCTCGCTAATGCGCATAGGCTGGCTCTCGGAGACAACAAGGGGAATGCCTACCCTATTCGAGGTGATAGCCAAGCCAGACAAGATCCAGTCATGATATCGGAGTCGGATGGAAGAGGCGAGATAGGGGTGGAGGAAATGCGTAGGTATGGCCGACGATTGACTGGTGGACTCGTGTCTCGATTGTTCTTCAGATTTCTTCTTTTCTTTTTTCTTTCCTTTTCTTTGCAGTCGTCCAGGTGGCAGGCAGGCGCTAGGGGTGAAGTGCAGAGAAGTTGAGAAGGCCACGGTTGGGAGTGAGGGGGTTGAGTCGGCAGACGGCCGCGTTCTCCATCTCAATGCTCAGATTCCGGGCTGGATCAAGGATGGAGGGAGTGTGTGTGTGGTTCCCGTCTGTTCGTGATCTTGTTCCGCTGTCGGTGTAAGACACGGACGTCCAACACTGGGATGGCAGAAATTCCGCGGTACCTGAGATCTGAGCCTGCATCTACGTCAAGACTCAGGCAATCGGACAGCGGAGAAGGGAGAGCCAATCGATGTCTCTCCGAACAAACAAATCCTCTACCTTGGCTTCGGGTACGAGACTCCCGTGTTCGTGCGAGAGGCAGAAATTGCCATGGCGGATGGGACAAAGTGTGCAGATGGAATGTGTTTGGTCATTGTCAAGGTTGGATGGAAGGCAGGTGGACGCCTGGAACCTTGCGCAGCTGGTTCATGGGTACGTATACCTAGGTACCTAGGGCTAGATGAGCTACGTACTGAGATGGAATGGGTGGCCCGGGCTTGTTGGTCCGACCGGGGGATGGTGTTGCTGGAGGCACTACCTAGATACGGTACGCAGTATCGGTAAGGAAGGTAGGTAGGTAGGCACATAAGGTACCTTAGGAAAGGAAGGCAAGGTCGGCGGCACCTTCGCTCATTTCACGCCCCTTTCTGACGTCGATTACCTCAATATATGGTAAGGTAGGAAAACCTAACCTGTCCAAGTTACCTACCTTAGGTTAAACTACCTAACTCAAGGGAAGGCCAGCAGCTATGCATCAAGTATCTTCTTCCTCATCTTTTTGACCAAGTGATTTTCGGCTAGGCTTCAGCTAACAGATGCGCCGTACTGGCAACTGCCAGGGATCCCACCCTTCATCTCATCCCGCCTCACGGAACGCTTCGTCCAATGATCTCTCTCCCGGCCTTAACTCCGGCTGAAGTGCTTAGCCTTGGCACCCCTGCTCTGCGTCTGCTTCCTCACAACCCTCCTGTTTCCTCGTGTCGACGACGATAAAGTTCAAGTGAGCGTTGTCTCCTTGTTCGAAGAAAGGTTACAGTTACTGACTACCTAGATTATCCCAGATCCGGCATGGGATTCATAACAGAATGATGGGAATTTCGCTACGGAGTATCCGCACAATCAGTAATATCCATGGCTGGGGTTACCATGATCCATCATTTCCGCCCGGGGTTGCTCGGGTTGAGAACTGTACGGGTACGGATACAGTTACCCAATTTCGATAAACGTGTGCCCGTTTCCTCGCAAGACCTTACCAAGATGCCCCAGCGACCATTCTCCAGCTTCTTGTTCTACGGATACAGGTGCGAACACTCATTGTGTGAGACCACTGTGGAAGACATTTGTCGATATTTCTGGTTTCCCGCCCCTCGATCGGAATTCCCTGCCATCTTGTCTATGGTCTCTCGTTCAGTCATGTCTCGTTCAGTCATGTCTCTCCTTCTTCCATTCTGCCCCCATTCATGACTTTTAACAGAGTTAGGTTGGTGGCCGAGAACGAGATGGAAGGCCCC